TAAATGTGGTCTCTTCTTCCACGTCCAGGTGTGTGACACTTCTCAAACCGTGTAAGTGAGGAATCTCAAAAGTTGTTCTCATGCTCATGCCATATAATCAACAACTTGTTCTGACATCTCACCAATGTAACTTTTAAAACACCTGGAAAGATATTACTTCTTGAGAAAAATACCATTTCTAAAATTTGAGTGTCAAGAAATGGCATAAAGTTTTAGAAGACATGAATATGTGAAATATGACATGAAAAAACTGTACAGTTAACCTTTTCTAAAATGTTCATGGGCATGGTCTGTTGGCACAACTGATAGGAAACAATGATCACAGTTTGATTACTTGGGCAATTCCAAGATCTCTATCACTGTAAGCTTTTCTGTGTTTCCCCAAAGAAACACCTAACCGACAGGCTATAGTTATCTGAAAACTCTATGCAGGAAGAAAAAGGGCTGGGATACAAATAGTCTCCCAATTATTTTGGCCGATTAAAGAACCTGCAAGGAACTTCGCTACTGCTCCCGTGGAAGGACAACTGTTTGACTTGGTCAAGTACTTATCTGTGGATTCATCTAGAGGGCTACTCTCTGGAAGGAGGAGGGGGCACTGCTGTCACCTGTTCGATCCCTTAGTCACCCCAACAGCAATTAATACAATATTTTGCATTGAATTTATCAAAAAAGAATCCATTAATTCTGAGTTTAAGTGGAGAATTTTTATACCTTAGCTTATAAAGATTTCACATAACAATTGTTAACTCTTCAGAAGTTATAATCTTCAAACTGCTTTGTTCAGTGGTATATAATTACAGTTCTACCTGTTTATTCAACAAAACATTAATTGTGATGACAGTACATACCTAAGGTTTTAGGAATAATCCTTTGGAGGGCTAATTTATTGGAATTGCAGCCTGAAAATATCTCAGTCATTACTTAGCAAAGATGTTTCACTGCAAGAATACAAATATTCTGGCTTTATATGGGCCTTTAATTAGGCTATTTATTTCTTTTCATTACCTATTACTTGACAACAAAGATTAATGACAATGCTAATATTTACTGAGTCCCTATAACGTGAAAGGTAATCCTATGAGATAATTATTACGCTCATCTCCATTTTACAGAAGAGAAAATGGAGACCTCATTAATATAGGGCAGAGCCAGGTACTGAATCATGGTCTGAGTTAAAGCCTGACCTCGTAACACTACATTATTCCAACGAGGTAATCAGTAATAGCTAATGGATCAAAGGACTAATTTGCTCCTTTATGCTGCTACTATGAAGTTGAGAAGTCCAAACTGAAGGAAATAAACTAGGATATGACAACACTGCATTTTGGAACATAAACTCCAGCTTATGGCTGTTAGGGTGAGCATGGGTTTCCATGAGATAAATAAGCAGGAACAGTCACAACACAAACAGGGGTGGGGGGGGGTGCCTGGCTTGCTCAGTCGGAAGAGCATGTGACTCCTGATCTCAGGATCATGAGTTCCAGCCCCATGATGGGTGTAGAGATCACTTAAATAAATAAACAAACAAACTTAAAAAAAAAAAAAAGAAAGAAATAGCAATGCCTATTTTTGGCACCATGGGTCTACTTCTGGGGACAACACTATAAACACTGATAGAATACTACAGACATTTTAAATGTCCAAAGAGTGACTGCACACATCTAGTGACTGTGAAATAAAAAGAAATGTGCCCAAATGTAAGCAAGGCAAGGGTCAGAAATGGCAATAAAGAGAGAATATTATGTGCATTTCTTGTAGGTGGCAGAAATTGGCTTTCATTAATACAAGAGAAGCATTTCTGGGCTCTTACCAACTCTTGTCCAAATAGACTTTCTTTCTTTTTTTTTTTTTTTTAAGATTTTATTTATTTATTTGACAGAGAGAGAGACAGCGAGAGAAGGAACACAAGCAGGGGGAGTGGGAGAGGGAGAAGTAGGCTTCCTGCCTAGCAGGGAGCCCGATGTGGGGCTCGATCCCAGGACCCCGGGTTCATGACCTGAGCCGAAGGCAGACGCTTAACGACTGAACCACCCAGGCGCCCCTAGACAGACTTTCTTTTTGGAAGGAGTCAGAAATAATTACTAGGGCAAAGGTAGCTAGCTAGCTCACAGGAGGTTGACTTGCTGCCTGAACTTTGAGGCCGCAAGATTTATTGCTCCTGAGTGGTGCTGGGCAAGAGAACACACTAGACAGGTGTCTTGGCTCTCCGTGAGACCGTCCGCTTTCGTTTCTGTTATGTGGCATATACTCAACGACCTGTCCTGTGTTAAATGCTGTAGATGTCCAATAACTTGTGATAAAAATACTGGTTAGCAAGCATACTGCCATTATCAGTTTGAGCAGTCTTTCCCTCCCCAAATCAAATCCTGAGCTCCTTGAGATCAGGTATCAAGCCACAGAATTCTATCATCGTTCCTGAAGAAGCTGGCACAAAGATGGGTTCTGGATATTTGTAGATGAAAATCAAATCAACAAGTATCTGACTCCCTATGACAGTAATTTCTGTAGAACATCTGACAGAAACACCTAAAGTTTGGTGAACCTGAATAAGGGTATCTGAGAGAGAGGCCCAGGAACGTACATTTTCAACAAGCCCCTTAGGAGATTTTATGCAGAGGTTTGGGGCCTAGAGAGCTGTTACATACTAATAAATGTATATACCTAAATATATGTTTCAGACAAGGTATGGGTAAGGTGTGAGCAAAAAATAAAACACTTCTAATCTCATTTCCTCTTCTCTCCAGTACTTCCTCTGTCCAATGCCTGAATCATCCTCCTGGAGCAAAATTCTTTTTTTTTTTTTTAAAGGTTTTATTTATTTATTTGAGAGAGAGAGAATGAGAGATAGAGAGCACGAGAGGGAGGAGGGTCAGAGGGAGAAGCAGACTCCCTGCTGAGCAGGGAGCCCGATGTGGGACTCGATCCCGGGACACCAGGATCATGACCTGAGCCAAAGGCAGTCGCTTAACCAACTGAGCCACCCAGGCACCCCCTGGAGCAAAATTCTAATCAAACAGTTCCTTTGCTCAAAACCTTCTTGACCATAAGAAATTAAAGCTCATAGTTATAAGCCTGTCATTTAAGAATCTTTATGGCCCGCTAACAAAACAACGCAACTTTTTAATGAGTTTTTTTTTTCCTAAAGTAGGCTACACGCCGATGGTGGGGCTTGAACTCATGACCCTGAGATTAAGCATCTCATGCTCTATGGACTAAGCCTGCCAGGAGCCCCAACACAACTTTTTAATAAGAGCACAAAGTCTGGAGCCAGAATGACTGGTTTCAAATCCCAGCTCCACCAATTCATAGTGGGACCTCAGGCAAGTCACTTAATCTCTGTGCTTCAGTTTCCTCATCTGTCAAATGGGGATATTAATGCCACATTACTGATAGGGGTGTTGATAGGATTAAATGGATATATGCACCACACTCAGAATTGTGGCCAGCACATAAGTGCAACATAAATGTTAGCTATTATTATCAATGATGATAATCTGCTACTACTCATCTAGTCACAGACGACACTTTGGTCCCATCTCTTAATTCCTGCTCCTTGGGCATTTTTCCGTATCACACTGCTCCCGTCATCTGTAATGCAGCTCTACACCATCACTGGGTCAAAAGTGTTCAACTGACAAGATCCAAATCCCCTGTCACTTTAAAGTCTTTAATGAGTAACTCTCCTCACGTCCAAATTAACCCTTCCTGCCTCTGTGCATTAATATAACATTTATTTGTGTGTTTCTTCACTTCCCAGACTGTAATTTCCCTGGAGAGGCTTGTATACTTAAAACGTTAAGTTCTTAGGAATAGAAAGACGTGGGTTCCAAACAGGTCACATTTATTCTCCCTGAGTGTCCTATTTCCCACTCATAAATTCAAGATAATAGTCATCTACTTTGAAGGAGGTTTAAATGACAAACTCTATCCATAGGTACTCAAAGAGTCTATTGAATAATAAGACTTAGTAGCGTCAGCGCCAAGCACTAGAGCAAACAGTTTTTTCCAACACGTTTATGGAGACAGGCAGGGAAACGCAGAACACATCAGACACCCAGACTGGCTGTTTACAAAACAGCCCCGACAAGAACAAACCAAACCATCTATCTCGGCACGTGCGCTCCGTGCCGGCTCTGGGGTGTGCCCAGAGGAGAGTAAACCTTCTTCCTATTGGCCTTTCCGAGGGTGACATCAAGACCACCCCCCAAAGGACCGACCAATAGGCTTTAGCGGGGAGGACCCAACGGCGACAGCTCAGGGCATGACAGCGTTTGGGCTCTTTCTCCACTCCACCAAAGTTGGGGGGCAGCCGCCCTGGGCACTGACAGGGCCACCTCCTGACCCGCCAAAGATCCTCCGTTAGACACAAGCTGATTCTCATGTACCCCTTTTTATTTTTTCTTTTAAAGAAAACTCCCTTTTGCACAAGTTCCCATTAGGAGCCATGAGCACGGAATCACAAGAGCTGGGGTCTAGCCTAACCCCAGTGCGGCTTTTGGGATTTCACTGTCCCTTTTGTGCGCGTCCGTTACCCTATTTTATAACGGGAGCAATCGTTCCGCTTTGGGGCAGGAACTGCCTCCCGAATCAGACCCGAAGCTCAGTCTATCAGGAGCCTGATCAATTCTGGACGCGCAGCCAGCCACAGGCTGCGTCAGGGGCTCCTGCGGGGCGAGCGTCTCTTCGTCCCCCGTCCAAGGTGTATGGAAACGATACCCCCTCCCTCCCGCCCCGGGGAAGTCCTGGAGCGGCCAGCTCTGACCCGGACCCCCAAGGGGACGCAGGCCAGGCCCAGCGACCGGCCGTGCAGACGTGGTGCTCTCGGGAATGGACGGGGGAAGTTGGCCACCCGGGGGTCCGCGCCCAGTGACCGAGACCGTGGCTTCTCAGGACCCGGGCCTGGGTGGGGAACCCTGGGCCACAGCCGTCTTCCACACGCCGCCCCGAAATCGAGCCCGGGCCTCCCCCATGCCCTCCCCCGCCATGCAGGGGCTTACCACTCGGCTCCCTCCAGGCCCACCCGGCCGCCGGCCGCCGGTCGCCTCCCGGACCCCCGCGGAAGCAAAGAAGGCGGCCACTTCACTTCCGGAAATAGCAGAGGACTGACTGAGGAGAGGCGAGCCCCGGGCCCGCGACCATAGAGGAGAAACCTCACTCTTCTCCCAACCCTCTCAACCCCGCGACCTCCACGCTGCCTAGAGCGGCCACTCCCCGGCCGAGGACTTTGGCGCATGCGTGCCACCTCTAGTCCCCGCCCTTTACTCTCCAGGGACAGACCTAGGGCGGTAGCTTTACACCCCGAGGGTGTGGCTGGTGTCTGGGTCGGGTCGTCCTGGTGGGCTATTTCTGTGTCTGGAGGAAACAGCTTTACCCAGAAATTAATATTATAAGACCGCACTGTAGTCCCCATAATTTTTTTTTTTTTTGCCTTAGTATCTCATGCAGAAAAATCCCAGGACCTTGGGTGAAGTTCCATCTGCAGTATTAAGAACCGGAATTAAAATGACTTTATCACCAATGTTTTTCTCCCAATGTCTTGGTCCGTTGAGAACTCATGCTGATTATCTGTTTTAAACCACTGGCCTGGAGGTTGATAAACTGATCATTTGGGATGACATTTTTCCCCCCTACAGATCAAATTGGCAAAGAATTAAAAGACTGGTCCTGCGCTAGTGCAGATAAAGTGTGAACTCATTTTCTGGAGAATAATTTGGCACTAGGTGTCAGCGTGTGTGTGTGTGTGGTAAAAGATACGTAACATAAAGTCTACCATTTAAGCCATTTTTTAAGTGTACAATTCAGTGGCATCATGGTTGTGCATTCATCTCCAGGACTTTTTCACTTTCCCATACTGAAACTCCGTACTTGTTAAACGTTTAACAGCAACCCATCCTCCCCACCCACCCCCCCTTTCTCTCTAGCCTCTGGGAACCACCCTTCTATTTTTGTGAATCTGACTACTCTAAGTACCTCCTATGAATGGAATCACACCTTATTTGTCTTTTTGTGATGGGCTTATATCATTTAGCGTGATATCCTCAAAGTTTATCTACCTTGTAGCTTGTGTTGGAATTTCCTTCCTAAGGTTGAATAATATTCCATTCTAAGTATATAGACTTTCTGTTTACCTCTTCATCTGTTGATGGATACTGGGTTGCTTCCACCCTTTGGCTATTATGAATAGTGCTCCTAAGAACATGGGTGTGCAAATACCTATTCAAACCTCTGCTTTCAATGTTTTGGTTTTTTTTTTTTTGGTGTATGCCTGGAAAAGGAATTGCTGCATTATATGATAATTCTATTTTTAATTTTTTAGGAATCCCCACACTGTTGTTCACAGTGGCCACACCATTTTATACTCCCACCAACAGCACACAAGGATTTTTACTTTTTAACTAAGGGATGTGAAAGGTTATCTCGTATGGTTTTGATTCGCATTAGTGATGTTGAGCATCTTTTCATGTGTTTATTGGCCATTCGTATACCTTCTTTGGGGAAATGTTTATACAAGTCCTTTGTCTTTTTTTTTTAAACTTTTTATTTATTTATTCATGAGAGACAGAGAGGGGGGGGCAGAGGGAGAAGCAGGCTCCCAAGGAGCAGGGAGCCCGATGCGGGACTCGATCCCACGACCCTGGGATCATGACCTGAGCCGAAGGCAGATGCTTAACCATCTGAGCCACCCAGGCGCCCACCTTTGTCTATTTTTTAATCAGATTTTTTTGTCATTGAATTGTGGGAGTTCTTTATATATTAATGATATTAACCCCTCATCAGATATATGATTTCTCCCATTCCATGGGTTGTCTTTTTGTTGATAGAATCCTTTCATTCACAAATATTTTAAGTTTTAATGTAGTCCCATTCATCTATTTTTTCTTTTGTTAGGTGTGCTTTGGGTATCATATTTGAAAAAAAATCATTGCAAAATCCAATATTATGAAGTTTTTGCCTTATGTTATATGCTAACAATCTTAGAGTTTCACAAACTCTTACATTTAGATGTTTGGCCTATTTTGAGTTAATTTTTATATGGTATATAGTAAGGATCCAACTTCATTATTTGCATGTGGTTATCTAGTGTTCCCAGTACTACTGTTGAAAAGACTGTTCTTTTCCCATCGAATGATCTCTGCATACTTGCTGTAAATCATACATCCGTTTATGCAAAGGCTTATTTTGGGGGTTTCTATTTCATTGGGTTCTAGATCTTTCTTTATGCCAATACCACTCTGTTTTGATTACTATAGCTTTGTAGTAAGTTTTATTATTTATTTAAATTACTTAAATTTATTTAAGTTACTTAAAATTTAAATTTAAGTGGCCATATGTGTCTAGTACTTTCTGTATTAGACTTTTAAGCTGAAACAAGAAGGCAGAGATATTTCAAGCCTGACTACCTATCATATTTTTCTCCTTCCCATTCCATCTGAACTCTAGAATTCACATTCATTCCTTGCTGTTCACGTTAGGAATGGTGAACATGATTACCTATATGTAAATTTCCATTGCATGAGGCAAGGGAAATGAACTTTGTGGAGGGAAGTGGTAGGAAAATGTCCAGACTCTTTTGTGTTCTTTAGAGTACTTAATACTTCTTTTTGGGGGAAAATGGTTATCTTTTTTTCCAAAAACATATGGATTTTGTACTCAATAAATCTCAAACTAAGAGGTGTGAATGCAGGGGAATTGTGACAAGTCAGAACTCTAATACCTTACATTTATTTATACAGTACTCTATAATTCACAAACATTATCACCAATTATCTTCAACCTTATTTAGTGGATGAGAAAATTGAGGTTTAGTAAGTTTGAATACATTCCAGACCTAAGTAATGGCAGACCTACCCTTTGAAAGCAGGCCTTCTAATCAACTTCAGAGTCGGCTTTTGCGAAAGATGAAAGTGAATTCATTCACTCAAACTATGTTTATTGAGCATCTACTGTGCATCAACACCGTTGTAGGCTCTGAGGATCAATGGTATACTCCCAACCAACCAAAACAGCAAGATCTCATCTATTTCGTTCCCCAGTCCCATTGACTAGTGCGGTCGATAAAGGTCTCAACTTTGCATGCTCTTCAGCTCTCTTAAGTAACCCTCCTTCCTATTCTTCTTCTTCTTCTCCACCCCCCCCCCCATTATTCTTATTGCAGCACCGGGCTCTTTCTCTTCATAGCGCTGATTGTGTTTCGAAGTGGCAAGTTTGATTCCTGCCTGACCTTCCCCTTTTACCCCAAGTTAAGCTCCAACGGGGCAGGGACTTTGTCTCCTTTGTAAATCACCGTATCCCCATCCGTTTCAGAGTGCCTGGCACATAATATTGCCAGGGAATATTTGCTCACCAACTGGGTGTCAAGACATGTACATTTCTTCGGAAGTTACGGTCTTAACGTCTGGCCACGCCAGTTAGGCCACGTCTTGAGGATTCCCATAGCCACGCCCCTCCTCTGTCCCTGGAAGGAGGGAAAGGAGCCCAGCCTGGCTCCGCCCCCGTCGCTGACGCAGGCTCACGTGAGGCGCGCCAGCGCGCGCTGTTCCCGGAAGTCGCCGCCGCGGTCTCCGCCGCTGTTACCTCCGCTGCTACTGCGGTCCCCGTGGAACTTTGCGAGTAGAACGGCTGAGGCGGGCCCGGGTGGGGCCGGGGTTCCGGCCACTCTGCAGAATGGAGATAATCAGGAGCAGTGCGTGTCCTCCGTGCACCTCCCCGAGCCCCACGGCCCCCCTCACCCGGCCTGCTAGGCCCAGACCAGGGCTGGTTTGCTTGCCGGGGCCTGGGACTGAGGCAGCCCCCCAGGGGTTTGCTTCCCCTTAAGTCTGTGAGCTTTGGGGGGCCCTGTCCCTCTCTGTCCCGTGCACCCCTAGGGGCCTTGTCCTCCTGCCCGGGCATCCCTCAGGGTCGTGTTCCTCTGTGGCCCGTGTGCTTCTGTGGCCCGAGTGCCCCCCGGGACTTGTCCTCCTAAGGCCCATGCACCCACTCGGGACTCGACCCCTTCCAACCGTGCACTCGTCGGGGACTTGATGCCTTCCGTCTTGTTTATCCCTCTGGGACTTCTCCTCCTCCTCCTCCTCCTCCCGCCCGAGGTCTCAGGATCTCCCCAGCCCTTCTTTCCTCTCCCGTTAGGAGCTCTTGGGCAGGAAGCCAGGCCACCGTCTCTGAGCCTCTTCTCGGTTTCTCCGCAGATTTTAAGAGTAATCTTCACAAAGTGTACCAGGCCATAGAGGAGGCCGACTTCTTCGCCATCGATGGGGAGTTTTCAGGTATCCCTCGCTTGCAAGCTGGGGGCTAGCAATGCATAGCTAAGGCTCCTCCTGACCCTCTGACCCCCTGCCTGCTGGCCGCTCCTCCCTGTTTGTGGCCTTGGGCGTTGTAGGAGTCTCTACGTTTCCTCTTACACGTTTCAAAGGCCTGGAAGAGGTGCGGTCGGTTTGTGATTGTTCAAGCTCTGAGGGTTACAGATCGAGATCATGGTTTTGGTGCGGCTTAAACTGTGACATGCACGTCGTAGGGTAAAGATCAGGTTTTTTTTGTGTTTATGGTGAAATATGCATAACATAAAATTTACTATTTTAACCCTCTTTTTTTTTTTAGATTTTATTTATTTATTTGACAGAGAGACACAGCGAGAGAGGGAACACAAGCAGGGGGAGTGGGAGTGGGCGAGGGAGAAGCAGGCTTCCCGTGGAGCAGGGAGCCCCATGGGGGGCTCGATCCCAGGACCCTGGGATCATGATCTGAGTGGAAAGCAGAGGCTTGATGACTGAACCGCCCACGCACCCCTATTTTAACCCTCTTGAAGTGGTTTTTATAGTTCAGTGGCATTAAGCACATTCACATCATCTTGTATCCATCTCCAGAACTTTTTCATTTTCCCTGAACTGAAGCTCTGTCGGTTGGACAGTAACTCCATTTTTCCCTCCCCACTGCCTCTGGCAGCTATTCTTTCTTTCTTTCTTTTTTTTTTTTTTTAAAGATTTTTGTTTATTTTTATTTTATTTGAGAGAGAATGAGAGATAGCACGAGAGGGAAGAGGGTCAGAGGGAGAAGCAGACTCCCCGCTGAGCAGGGAGCCCGCCGCGGGACTCCATTCTGGGACTCCAGGATCATGACCCTGAGTTGAAGGCAGTCACTTAACCAACTGAGCCACCCAGGCGCCCCTGGCAGCTATTATTTCTGTCTCTATGAATTTGACTATTCTAGGCACTTCCTATAAGTGGATTTGTAGAATATTTTTCCTTTGTGATTGACTTTAAGGTCAGGTTCTTGCAGGTAAATGAAGGCATTTCTTTATGCATTAGTGGAAGTGTTCATTGCATAGCTCAGCATGGGTGTGTATGTGTGTGTCACACTTTGTCAACACTTACGATTGCAAAGTTTATTTTCCCTTGGATAGAAGACTAATTTCTGAGTTGTTGAAGTCAGTATGTACAATTGGTGTAGATACCCATTTTTGCTACCTGATTTTATGTGTTTAAAAAACTTAAGCCTTTTTGAAGGAATCCATGCTCGGGTAAATATAATACTTATCTTTAAGCATGAGGTTTCTAGTTGGAGTCAGTTCCCTGGGAAGCTCAGTTTTCACCAGAAATAATTTTTCTCTTTGACTTTCAAAATTACTTTGTTGTATAAATATTACTCCAAACTGTTGATCAAGACTGGTACTCTAACAATAATATACTTCAGGATTCTTGGATGTCTAATTATGCATTAATCCTTTTGAAAGCAACAAATCTTATTAATCACAGAGATTGCTTTCTTAAATCATTATTGTGTTTCGAAACCTATTTTAGACACTAGCACTGCCTATTATCAAATTAAAGCATTCGCATCTCTAAATTCATTATTACAGTGTTTAGCTTGGTGGCCAGTGAAATTAATTTTCATTTTGAAAAAGTGAAGTAAGGAGCATTTCCGATTAATTTTAATTCATAAGAATATGAAATTCCATGCCATTGAATAGTTGACTGATGTTTTTACATGACTGTTACAAAAAAGTTTATTTCTTAAAATTAGGAATCAGTGATGGACCTTCAGTCACTGCATTGACAAATGGTTTTGACACTCCAGAAGAAAGGTATCAGAAGCTTAAAAAGGTAAGTGGATGTGCTCGAACATCTTTTTTTCCCTCCCACATTGGTCTTCCTTACGTTAAATTATAAAGAAATGTTTTCATTAAACTTGCACGTTAACTTCTCTACCCCCACTGTGAAATGATATTTTAGTAATGTTAAAAATAACAGCAAAAATAATTGTTTGCTGGAAAACATTTTGGGGAAGGCTTAGTGTTTTCAGTGTTAATGTGATTTGTAGGGAATACGATGTGGTTATTTTAATCATTTGGAAATAGGCCCAATATGATGCTCTGGTTGGTGGATAGGTGCTTAATTGGGAAAAGTATTAAGAAGCATTAATTAATGTAAATTAATAACGCTTCTGATACATAATGTGTAATCTGTTGTAATCGGAAGTATTCTACTAAAAGTCAAATTGAGTAGTTAGAAAGCCCATCTGGTTGAGAGTACTCTTGCTCACGTTGAATATACAACACTGATTTGACAGGTGTTTTGTTTCCCTTTTCCAGCATTCCATGGACTTTTTGCTGTTTCAGTTTGGCCTTTGCACTTTTAAGTATGACCACACAGATTCAAAGTAGGTTGTTTTAATAAGCGGCGGATTTCTTTTTTCCTGGTGTAATGTAACCCACTAAGTCTCCTTTTGTCATCTTTCCCGCAGGTATATAACAAAGTCATTTAACTTCTATGTATTCCCGAAACCCTTCAATAGATCCTCACCAGATGTCAAGTTTGTTTGTCAGGTTGGTAGCATAATTGATTTTCTTCTGTTACGAAGTGCTGATGAGGCAGTGTGGAAATGTGGAATCAGAATTCTTTTTAAAATTTGGTGCTACCACTGACTGGGTTTTTAGCAAACCATTTCACCTCTCCGACTTTCAGTTTTAGGGTGGCAAACTAATGACACTGCTTTTTTCCTCTTTCCTTTAGAATCAGGGTAAGAGCAAGAGACAGGTTGATGGAAACCAGAACATGAGGTTTATTATTAGCACAGCTGACTTTGGGAACATGGCTTTGTAATGTGTTTCTGTTGGGGATTTTTAATATCTTACCCCTGACTTGAACCTACAGATCAGGTCCTTCAGGCTTCTTCCCACCCCATTCTCTTTGTACTCATCTCCGAGGGTAGAACTTTATTTTCTAGAGGAACAGAGTATGTGTGTATCCTGTTTAAAAAAAGAGAACCCAGAAGGGGCTAAAGTCATGTGCTCATTTCTGTTTTCCCTCGTTCCCTAGTGAAGAAAGAGAGTCCACAGTTTCCTCCTGAGGAGGACAGGGCATACTCTATTAGCCAAGGTAAGGATTCAGGGAGGTTGCCCTTTAGAACCTCGCCTTTAGAGTTGTAGCTCATCTGGTAGACCTCAGTAAATCTCAGTTTCCTCTTTCTGTTCTCTTAATAATCTATTATAAAGGATAAGGAGGATGTGAATAAGTGGTGTAGTGTATGGATATGTGATTAGAGACAAGGGATGATCTTTTTTCCCTTAGAATCTTGTGTCCTCGCTTCTCTCTCAGCAAAGTTAGTTCATTTGAGTCTTGCCATTCTTCCCTTCTGCATGTAAGGAGTAATGAGGTTAAGAAAGCCTAGAGGGTAGGCTTTTGAGTGACTGAGCCATGACAGATTCTTTCTGTAATAAGGCAAGTGAAATTACGAGTTAATCATATGCCTGGGGCTGAAGAGGAAAGGTGAAGGTAATTTTGGTTTTGTAACCTGGTTTCTTAAATTAGCCAGTAGGTCTTTATTCTGCATTCAGTTAATAGCTATTTACGAATTACCTTAGTAGGGGATACTAATTAAACAGTATTTGTAGATTCTCACTGAGAAAAAAAATAGGCTCCATTTGGCAATTTGTGTGGATAAAGTTTTCCAGCAATACCAGGAGACGACAGAAATGTAAGTGGGTTCCATGACGTTAGCTGGGCGTCAGTCGGGCAAAAGCAGACATTGGCAATGAGACATCTTAGGGATGATGCTTTGTTCTAAATACCAACACAAGTACAGATACTCTAGATATGCAATGGAAGTAGATCAGAAGAACTCTGGCTGTCGTACAAAGCTATTCTGTGGCCACACCTGGAATATTCAGTGCAATTCTAGTTGCCAGCCCCTCCTTAAGAAACAAAAAAAGATATGATAGATTTGAACGGGCCAGAGACTCATGTCTAAAGTGGACAATGGGGGGCACCTGGGTGGCTCAGTCGGTTAAGCGTCTGACTCTTGGTTTCGGCTCAGGTCATGATCTCAGGGTCATGAGATTGAGCCCCGAGTCAGGCTCCACACTCAGCATGGAGTCTGCTCGTCCCTCTGCTCCCCACCCCCTCTCCCCTGCTCGCATACATGTGTGCTCACGTGCTCTCTCGCTCTCTCTCAAATAAGTAAAAAAATAAAATCTTAAAAAAACAATTTTAAAGTGGACAGTGGAATAAACATTACAGTTTTTTTAGTCTGGAAAAACAAAGTCAGAGAAAAAGTTTAGACTTACTCTGTAAACTTGTGAATTGTATGGATAAGGTGAACGATAGTATCTTTGAATTTTGTTTTGTTCTCCATCCAAGGTGGTTTCTGTTTTGTTTAAAATTCTAGGACTGGGGCACCTGGGTGGCTCAGTCATTAAGCATCTGCCTTCGGCTCCAGGTCATGATCCCGGGGTCCTAGGATCGAGCCCCTCGCTGGGCTCCCTGCTCAGCAGGAAGCCTGCTTCTCCCTCTCCCACTCTCCCTGCTTGTGTACCCTCTCTCGCTGCCTCTCTCTGTCAAATAAATAAAAATAAAATCTTTAAAAAAATAAAATAAAATAAAATAAAATTCTAGGACTGTTGGGACGCCTGGGTGGCTCAGTCGGTTAAGTGTCTGCCTTTGGCTCACGTCATGATCCCAGCGTCCTGGGATCAAGTCCCACATCAGGCTTCAGTCCCACATCAGGCTCATTGTTCAGCAGGGAGCCTGCTTCTCCCTCTGCCTGCTGCTCGCCCTATTTGTGTGCATGTGCTCTCTCTCTCTCTGACAAATAAAATCTTAAAAAAAAAAAAATTCTAGGACTGCAGCAGAGTTGCATCTTACAAGGAGGTTAGCTTCTAAAGTCAGAGAGTGGGGCGAAAATTGTGTCTAGGCAAAAATCACTCTTGGACAGCTCTTCTCACCCTTAAAACAGGTAGGGCTGGGGAGTAGAGCAACGTGTAATAGGCTCTTTGTAAAGTAAGTGTACACACAGTGAGATGCTCACACACTAGGCAGGATATGGAAGAACGGGCGGACTCAGAATCTCACACACTCCCAAGGGGTGTACCCATCCAGTGGGATGGGAGGCATTTACATTACTTAAAAAAATTTTTTTTGAGTGCAGTTGATAAATAATATTACATTAGTTTCAGGTGTACGACGTGGTGATTCAACATTTCTGTATGTTGTGCTGTGTTCACAAGTGTAGCTACCACCTGTCACCACCTGTACGAGATGATGAAATTTATGTTCCCAATGCTGTACCTTTTGTTCCCATGACTTACTCATTCCATGACCAGGAGCCTGTACCTTCCACTCCCCTTCACCTGTTTTGCCCATCCCCTTCCCTCTTTCCCCTCTGGCAACCATCAGTTTGTTCTCTGTATTTTAGGCATTTATGTTGTTTTCATCTCTTTTTCTTCTCTTTTTTCCTAGCTGAGCATCAAATGTTGAATTCGTTGAAGATAATACATAAATGATGGTGAAATATCAAAACATTGCTGCTATTTGTAGAGTAATTGAGTTTTTTAAAAATATCCTCTTCCATCTCCTTCCCTGTTTCACTCCTCTTTCCTAACTTTTTTTTAAGGATTTTGTTTATTTAAGAGAGAGAGTGAGTGAGAGAGAGAGAGCGCACAAGCGGGGAGGAGGGGCAGAGGGAGAGGGAGAAGCAAGCTCCCCGCTGAGCAGGGAGCCTGATGCGGGACTCGATCCCAGGACCCCAGGATCATGACCTGAGCCGAAGGCAGATGCTTAATGACTGAGCCACCCAGGCGCCCCGCCCCTCCTTTTTCCTAACTTTTATATACTTGTATACATACACAGGTTTCCTCCACTTACGATGGTGGCATGTCCCAATAAACCCACTGTAAGTTGAAAACATTGTAAAACTGCTTTTAATACCCCTGACCTGCTTTACATCGTAGAGTAGCCTACCCTACTTTGAACGTGCTCAGAACACTGACATCAGCCTGTTCTTCGGCAAAATTATCTAAAACAAAGCCTGTTTTGTTATATAGTGTTAAAAGTCTCATGTCATTTATTGAATACCATATTGAAAATAAAATGTAGGATGGTTGTATAGGTGGGGCGCCTGGCTGGCTCAGTCTGGAGCATGCAACTTTTGATCTCGGAGTTGAGTTTGAGCCCCGTGCTGGGTTAAAAATGACATCTTTAAAAAGAAAAAAAGGAATGGTTGTAGGAGTACAGAATGGTTGTAAGCACTTGTGTTTGCGTGGATGAGTGGGAGCTGCTTCTGCCCAGCATCATGAGAGAATATTGTACTGTATAGATCACTAGCGCAGGAAAGATCCAAATTCAAAATTTGCGGTATCGTTTCTGCTGAATGCGTATTGCTTTTGCATCACCGTGAAGTGGAAAAATCCTAAATTGAACCATTAGTAAGTCGGGGGCCATCTGTATCCATAGGTCTACACAGGTATATCTAACTTTACCTTTTTTAAAAAAATATATACGGAATCCTGATATTCATTTTTTTTTTAAAGATTTTATTTATTTGAGAGAGAAAGAATGAGACAGAGAGAGCATGAGAGGGGGGAGGGTCAGAGGGAGAAGCAGACTCCCCGCTGAGCAGGGAGCCCGATGCGGGACTCGATCCCGGGACTCCAGGATCATGACCTGAGCTGAAGGCAGCCGCTTAACCAACTGAGCCGCCCAGGTGCCCCTGATACTCATATTTAATGTAACTTGTATTTTCCACTCAATACAGTTTCTTCATATTTCACAGTGTGGATGTATGTAATTTATTTAATTAGAATTTAGAAGTTTTCCAAAGGTTCCTTTTTTTTTTTTTTTTTGAGAGAGAGAGAGCAGGGGGAGAGGGCAGAGGGAGAGGGAGAGGGAGAGAGAATTCTAAGCAGGCTTTGCGCCTAGCACGGAGCCTGACACTGGGCTCAGTCTCACGACCCTGAGTTCATGACCTGAGCCAAAACCAAGAGTCAGATGCTTAACCGACTGAGCCACCCAGGTGCCCCAAAGGTTCCCTATTTTAAACAATGTTACAGTCAACATTCGTGTGTAGTATATCTTGGTGTATGTATGGGAATTTTTTTTTTTTTAAGTAAGCTCTATGTCCATTGAAGGACTCAAACTCAAGACCCTGAGATCGGGGCGCCTGGGTGGCTCAGTCATTAAGCGTCCGCCTTCGGCTCAGTCATGATCCCAGGGTCCTGGGATCGAGCCCCGCATCGGGCTCACTGCTCAGCAGGAAGCCTGCTTCTCCCTCTCCCCCTCTCCCTGCCTGTGTTCCCTCTCTCGCTGTGTCTCTCTCTGTCACATAAATAAATAAAATCTTAAAAAAAAAAAAAGACTGTGAGATCAAGAGTTCTGCTGACTGAGCCAGCCAGGTGCCACATATATGTAGGAATATTTTTATAGGATTTTTAAAAAAGATTTATTTGAGAGAGTGAGAGAGAGAGAGGGTATGGGGTGGGCTGGGGAGGGGCAGAGGGAGAAGGAGAAGCAGGGCAGGGAGCCGATGCGCGGCTCTATCCCAGGTCCCCGGGATCATGACCTGAGCTGAAGGCAGACACTTAACCCACTGAGCCACTCAGGTACCCTATAGGATTTTTTTTTTTTTAAGATTTTATTTATTTATTTGAGAGAGAATGAGAGAGAGAGAGCACATGAGAGGGGGGAGGGTCAGAGGGAGAAGCAGACTCCCTGCTGAGCAGGGAGCCCGATGTGGGACTCGATCCCGGGACTCCAGGATCATGACCTGAGCCGAAGGCAGTTGCTTAACCAACTGAGCCACCCACGCGCCCTAGGATTTTTTTATAGATTTCCTCAAAGGGGAATTGCTGACTCATTGGGCATACGCATTTGAAATTTTGATAACTGCCTGAAATTGTTCTTCCAAATAGCTGTGCTCATTTTTTGAATCCTGAAAATGGTACATTTAGGACAAATCAAAGACTAATGGATACTAAACCCAAATAGATTTTGTAGGTTCAAGGATTTTCTTTAATTATGGTAAGAAATACATGACAAAATTCAGCATTTTAAGTAGTTTTTTTTTAAAGGATTTTATTTGAGAGAGAGAGAGAGAACGAGGAGGGGGAGGAACAGAGGGAGAGGGAGAAGCAGATTTCCCGCTGAGCAGGGAGCCCCGATGTGGGGCTTGATCCTAGGACCCTGGGATTATGACCTGAGCCGAAGGCAGACGCCTAACCAACTGAGCCACCCAGGCGCCCCTAAAATAGTCTTTTTTACATCCTGCTATATTTTAAAAAGAATTTGTGTTGGCTAATAAAGATAAGTATGGTATTTATCTTTTAACACAACACCCTAAAAAATGAGTAAAGGAAAAAATGGGAAGAAAAGAAAAACGAAGATGTGCTTAGTATGGTATGATTAGAACACAGAATTTGTGCCAACGAAAGTCTTCACTGTCTGTGCGTCTCCTAGCAGCTAAGACGGGGGAAACACACACAGCTCTGTGGTGTACAGAATCAGAACATGCGCCTTTCATTACCATAAAGAAATCACGAATGTAGAAAACCTTGTCTTTGGCTCCCTGTCTCAAGTGAATACCATCACGAGTGTCACGGGACTGGTACAACGTCCCGCATCTGGGCAGATGGTATCCTGTCAAAGTACAGTTCAGGAAAGGTAGTTCTATGAGGAACCAGATCAAAATGACTCAGGTGTGTCACCCTCTCGTGTTCTGACTTAAAACAAGAAATTAGAGTAGCTACGGTCATATTTTATGCTCTTTAGTCACATCGAGTCAAGAACTTTGTGATTTGCCATTCATGTGTACCATATATGGTAGTATTTTCTTTTCTTTTTTTTAAAGATTTTATTTATTTGAGAGAGAGAATGAGAGAGAGAGAGCACATGAGAGGGGGGAGGGTCAGAGGGAGAAGCAGGCTCCTTGCTGAGCAGGGAGCCCGATGTGGGACTCGATCCTGGGACTCCAGGATCGTGACCTGAGCGGAAAGCAGTTGCTTAACCAGCTGAGCCACCCAGGCGCCCTATGGTAGTATTTTCTTAATGTTTTCATTTAAATGTCTATATTTCGGCTCACTCTAGGTTTCAGATGTATTTGTGTAGTCAGTCTTGTTACTGGGAACTTTTCTCTGTTTTTGATCTTGAACGTAAAGGCTAGCCAGTGAAGATTTTGGGTTTTTAGAATCAACGTTGGGGTGGATGTTGATGTGTTATGACTTGCACATGTGAGCTACTTTAAACTTTAACTGGTGGTGAGAGACTGGCAATACATTTTATTTCTTTTTATTGTTTCCTACTCAGTACAGTGATCAGGAGTTCTCTGTCTTTTGGGAGAATATGTGTTTAACCCATTATAATTTTCTTAAATATTATGAAACGAAGGATATTTGTTTTATAAGCTCTAAAGGAGAAGAGCCCAGATAGTTTAGATGAATGGATTATTTGGCAGCCTTGAAGTAGAAATGCTAATTTTCTGACTTTTGGCATGCCACTTCCTTGGCTGTCTGCCTTTGTTTATGTGTGTGAGTTACCTCTCTGTTTCTGTTCACGTATCTGCCACCAACATCACCAAAATGTATGTTCTGTTCCCTTTTGTTTCAGAGCTCAAGCATTGACTTTCTAGCAAGCCAAGGATTTGATTTTAATAAAGTTTTCCGCAATGGTAAGATTATATGTGGCTTATCCTTAGAGTTTGTAAATTTGGATTTGGTTGAGAATGATCTTTTTGGGCCTGCCATCTGAGACAGAATCTCAGAGTCCTGGCTTACTATGTGCAGCCTTAGAATTTTTTTTTTTTTTATATTTTGTTTATTTATTTGACACAGAGAGACACAGCGAGAGAGGAAACACAAGCAGGGGGAGTGGGAGAGGGAGAAGCAGGCTTCCCTCAGAGCAGGGAGCCCGATGCGGGGCTCGATCCCAGGACCCTGGGATCATGACCTGAGCCGAAGGCAGACGCCCAACGACTGAGCCACCCAGGCGCCCCCAGCCTTAGAATTTTTTAAAAAACTCTTTTATTGTGCCTTTAAAAAAGTGTAGCCTGGTCTACCATGAACTGAATGGGAAGAGTAGATGCTACTTCATTTTGCTCTAATGAGGCCTCACCAACTCCTGATCTTATTGAATGGAGTTTATTCTCCCACTGGTGTGACTTCGTGGCCCTAACAGGCCACCTGTGGGGAGCACTGCCCTGTTTTCTTCCGGTGAAACAGGCAGCAGAGTACTTTTTAAAAAGTAACTGTATGCTAGTAATTCTCTAATGAAAAGCCCCCTTTTTCAAGCAGTGCTTGTTTTATAATTGGAGATCGTTTCTCCTGGGAGAAAAAAAGTCTGTGTAGACAGCACAGCATGGTCATGGCAGCTAACTGGGTGGTGTGACAGTTGTGCGGACACCCTGAGGGAAGGGACTGTGTCTCATTCATTTCAAATCCCCGGTGTATGGCATGAGTCCTCTGCTGTGTCAGGGAAGTGACCCTAACATTTGTGAGTGAATATTGGGCATTCACGTCCCCACCAGAGTGCTTTTCCTTCCTGTATTTCCTGAAAAGTGTTTCAGACCCTTTTCTCCTGATAGTCTTCTCGGAAGTGTCTTTGACTTCCTGGCCTGGAATGGAACTGGGGGACTCCTCTTTTGCTCCCTGCCCCTGCAGCCCTCTGGAACACAGGTGGTTTTACCTCTGTCGTTTGGTCTGTCCAGGCAGGCATCCCGTTGGTCTCCTTGCTCCCCCACGCTACTTGCAAGCCGCTTGGGTTCCCTCTGCCCAGGAGCCCCTGTTGGCAGGGATGTGCCACCGCTTCATATCTCTCCTCTTTCTGCCCATTTCATGAGCGTGGCATTTGGGACAGCCTTGGCTTTGGCTTACTGTCTTCTCTCTGACTCCTACCTCCCTCCTCATTATGGGTGACATTAGCATCCACAGGGATGACCAGCAAGTGCTCCATCTTGTCTGTTTCTTGACCGGGCGCACAGCAGTCTTTCCTCGTACGTCCCCTTAGCCATCTCTATCCTCTACGCATCATGGGTCTTACCACCACTAACTGTGCCCACCTCCAGCATTTCTCACGCTGACAGCACTACTTCTTGTCCTTCTCTACTTCGTCTCATTACCCGTGATGTTAACTTGTTTATTCCATTGTGGAAAAAGCCACACGTTGTTTACCATCTTAATCATTTTTAAGTACTGCGTTCAGTGATGATACTAAGGATGTTCATGTCATGCAGCTGTTGGTGTTAACAATGTCGATCACCTTTTTCACCAGTTAATTTTAGCATTGACTGATGATTCTTGCATGGAACGATTAGTATTGCTGACAGTCGTGATTTTCCAATTCTGTCGTTGTGGAAAGTTCATTAGTGTCCCATGACCTTTAATGCCACCCATATCGTGCTGATCCCTAAATAGATATCGCAGTACCTTTCTCCTGAATGTTAGGCTTTTATTATGTAATAATTTATGTATAATGTATAATTTATGTATACCCTTATATATCCAGGAGATAACTTTTGATTTTCACTTCTTGGGCCGAAACTGTTCTTTACCCAGTGTTTCCCACCTCCATACGTGGACCTGCTATCTACCCAACTGCTTACACCTAATAGCCAGGTGTCGTTTTTGGTCTTGCTCTTCCCTTTATCCCTCCCTGCCAGTATATCAGCAAGTTCTCTCACTCCTGTCACTCTAGTCATTCTCTTCATCTCTGTAGTCTAAGCTGGGTCACAAACCATGACCCACTGCCTACTTTGTCAATAAGGTCTTATTTTAAATAAAGCCATGGCTGTTCTTGGTAAACCCAGTGCGTATGGCTGTGTTTGTGTTGCAAGAGCACAGTTGATTGGTTGTAACAGAGCTCCCCCTGTGGCCCACAAGCCTGAAACATTTACCGTGTGTGCCCCCTCTAAGAGAAAGTTTACTGACCTCTGATGGAAGCAGTTACTTCTTGCCTGGACAGTTGCTTTTAACTGACTTCCCTACTTCAACCCTCACAGGAGTCGAAGTGATCTCTTAGAAACAAGAAGCAGATACTGTAATTATCTTGCCTAAAACCTTCTTCTTTTTTTTTTTTTTAAGATTTTTAAAAATTTATTTATTTGACAGAGGGAGAGAGCAGGAGCACAAGCAGGGGGAGTGGGAGAGGGAGAAGCAGGCTTCCCACCGAGCAGGGAGCCCGATGTGGGGCCCAATCCCAGGGCCCTGGGACCATGACCTGAGCCGAAGGCAGACGCTTAACGACTGAGCCACCCAGGCGCCCCTTGCCTAAAACCTTCTAATGGCATTCTATTGCTCTTAGAATAAAATAAAATTTTTTTTAAAGATTTTATTTATTTTTGTGAGGGAGGGAGGGAGGCGGAGAGAGCGAGAGTACGAGCAGGGGGAGGGACAGAGGGAGAAGCAGACTCCCTGCTGAGCAGGGAGCCCGATGTGGGACTCGATCCCGGGACTCCAGGATCATGACCTGAGCCGAAGGCAGTCGCTTAACCAACTGAGCCACCCAGGCGCCCCCAGAATAAAATAAATTCTTATCCTGGCCTCTCTATGCCAACCTTGTGCCATTCTCCTGCTCACTGTGTTCTGGTCACACCAGCTTCCTTGCTGTTTTGGGAGCAGTCTGCACCATCCCATCCTCTGCACATTTATACTTGTTCCCATGCCTGAAATACTCCTCGCCTGGCTTTTTGCCGGCCTAATTCATTCTTTGGGTCTTCCCTCGTAGTGACCTTGTCTGATCACCTGGTCGGAAGTCGTTCCCTTCACCACAGAGTAGGATGCGTCGTCTCCTTTGTTCACGGTTAGACACCTTGTGCCTGATACAGTGCCTGGCCCAGTGGAAGTGCCAAATAAGCATTTGTTGAAAGGAGAGTGAATGATGGGAGTGAATGAACAGACAGATGTATTTCAAAATCATTTGCTTTTTCTGTTGACTTTCTGGGGGATGGTTACATATGTTAAGTCTTTCCTGAGTGTTGTAGATTCACTGGTTTGTTCAAGAATTTTTATGTTAAAATTTTTATGCTAAGTTACTTTTGCTAATGCGTTCTTTTTAAAATTACATTTAGGAATCCCATATTTAAATCAGGAAGAGGAAAGACAGTTAAGAGAACAGTATGATGAAAAACGTCTGCAGTCCAATGGCGCAGGAACTCTGTCTTATGTATCACCAAATACTTCCAAATGTCCTGTGACAATTCCTGAAGACCAGAAGAAGTTTATTGACCAAGTGGTGTAAGTTCCAAAACTGAAACCAAACGTGCATTATGTAATGTGTTTTGGGGCCAAACGGACATCTGTATTTTTTTTTAACATTTTATTTATTTATTTGAGAGAGAGAGTACGAATGGTGGGGAGGGGCAGAGGGAGGGGAGAAGCAGACTCTCCGCTGAGCAGGGACCCTGACGTGGGATTCGATCCCAGGACCCTGAGATCATGATCCGAGCCAAAGGCAGACGCCCAACCAACCGAACCACCCAGGCGCCCCCTGACATCTGTATTTTAAGCTTGAGCTGCACACACACAGCGCACGCAGGTGTGATAGGGTGAATGGCAGGATTTCATTGTGTCATACCTGAATTTGTGTAATCACAGCACATTGTAAAATAGAATTCTGTGTACTGTACTTAGACTTCCCATGTGTCCTGGGCAAGAGACGCAGCCAGTGCGCATACCTCTTGCATGGATCAAGGGCCCCATAAACGCTGTCCGGTTTCCCTGAAGGCAGAGGAACGAAACAGGCCCACCCGGATATTTGCAACACATCCACATTTTTGTTTTGTTTTATTTTGTTTTTTGAATGAAGTTTCTGACTAGCACACAGGCCACTGGAGGAGTGTCTGGTTTTCCTGAGTTTTTGGTAAACTGCTTTACTAGAAAAGTAAAAATTAATTAGTGACTTAATTTTATTCGAGTATACTTGACACACAATGTTACATGAGTTTCGGGTGTGCAACATAGTGATTTGACAGGTTTATACATTATGCTGTGTTCACAAGTGTAGCTCCCATCTATCCCATTACTTCACTATTACAGTGCCATTGATGGTATTCCTAATGCTCTGCTTTTTATTCCTGTGACTGACTTACTTCATTTTTTTTGGTTTTATTGTTTATTTTTAGTTTAAATTCAATTAACATACAATGTATTATTGGTTTCAGAGGTAGAGTTCAGTGATTCATCAGTCTTATATAATACCCAGTGCTCATTACATCACATGCCCTCCTTCATATCCATCACCCAGTTACCCCATCCCCCCTCCCCCCTCCCCCCTCCCCCGCGACTTATTTCATAACTGGAGGCCTGTATCTCCCTCTCCCCTTTGCCCATTTTGCCCAACCCCCTACTCCCCCTCCCCTAGAAAAGTAAAAATTTAAATCGCTTGTATTGATAAATCCTTGAGAAGTTTCCTAACTCATGAATAACAAGAACAAAAAGAATATGTCCAAATAAAGGATGTTTTAAAAAGATTTATTTAGGGCACCTGGGTGGCTCAGATGGTTAAGTGTCTGCCTTCGGCTCAGGTCATGATCCCAGGGTCCTGGGATCGAGTCCCGCGTCGGGCTCCCTGCTCAGCAGGGAGCATGCTTCTCCCTCTTTCTCTCTCTCTGTCTCTTATGAATAAATAAATAAAATCTTTAAAAAAAATAAAAAGTTTTATTTATTTAGTTTTAGAGCCAGAAAGAGGGAGAGAGAGGGAGAGAGATCATGAGCGGGAGGGGCAGAGGGAGAGGGAGAGAGAATCTCAAGCAGACTCCGAGCAGAGCAGGGAGCCCCACATAGGGCTTGATCTCACAACCCTGAGATCATGACCTGCACGAGACCAAGAGTTGGATGCTTAACCAACTGTGCCCCCCCCCCGGCGTCCCCCCAATAAAGTATTTTTATGTGTAACCACGTGTAACTTAAGTGTAGCTAAAAACTTATAACCTGATTGGGTACAGTTACATTGTCCTATGTTCTTATAGTCAGTTTGCTTCTGAGTATGATTATTCTGTTGGTTGATGACTTCCTTAAAGATATTGATGATGATGTTTTCATTCTAATTCCTCAGAGAGAAAATAGAAGATTTATTACAAAGTGAAGAAAACAAGAACTTGGATTTAGAGCCATGTACTGGGTTAGTTGCCCTGAATATTCTCATGTGCTCCATTTTGGTCTTTGAAACACACATTCATAGTCTTGTTATTATTTGTATGATGTAAGCACTAACTTGAGCATTAACACAGTGGGGACAATGGTATATTGAGACAGAGAATGAACGGTTTGTCCTATCCTGGAAGAGAGAAAACCCTTGTGCATCTTTGGTTGTAAGTTACGCTCCAGGGTGGCATAATTACTTTAGTCTCGGAGAGTGCTTAATACATGAAGGTTTAAAGGGAAGAATTCACCATCAGGCTGCCTCTATCCTTTTAATTTCTCTCTGCAGTAAAAAACATCAGTGTCTCAAAGAGGCAGAGACTCAAACACCTTACTTCCCTTTTACTTTGTGACTAGCTTCACAAAAGTGTTTTAATGCATCTGTCTACTTCAGAGTCATTGGACAGGCACAGGAAGTGATACTGTGGTTGGACAAGAACTTTTACCTCTTGGATAAATGCGGTATAATAATATTAAAGAAGATTCTGATGAGGACGAGTGATGAGGGATCCTGTCACCTCAGATGTCCCACCTGTATTTTGTTTGCATATTACCTGTCACTTCTCATAGAGTCGCTTTTAAAAATTAAATGTATTTCCCCAACCAGTGCTTGATTGGTTAGGACTTTCTTTTAATGAGCTCAAATCAGTACCTTCTCTTTTGTTTTTATAGGTTCCAAAGAAAACTAATTTATCAGACTTTGAGCTGGAAGTAAGTGTTTATATTATATGTGAGAATTCTGTGAGGGACCCAGGATTTAAAACTACATATAATCTTTTAGCTCTTTTCACTTTTGAGATTCTGCAGCTTTTGGTGATTTGACCATACCACGTTCTAGGGCAGTGCTTTATTGTGCTACTTCCCCTACTTGTTAAGTTCCTTAAATACCCACTAATTTTCTTTGTTATTTCTTAGCAGCTGCTTTTAAGCCTTTAAAATTTTCTTTTAATTGTCATTTTGGCCTTAAGTCCATTAAGTTCTGGATGTATAGTGTTCTGTTCTTAGAAGGTACATGATACAGATGGGGTTTTAAGATCTAGAAAATACCTAGATGAATGCTCTTTTTAAAGCAGGGGTTGTACCATGGGTGGGTTTCAGGGGGTCTCTGAATCCCCTGAAATCACATCCATAATTTTGTGCATGTATTTTTCTGGAGGTGTTTCCATTGGGTTCTCTGTATTTTCACCCCTTTTTTGTTTTTTTGAGAGAGAGAGAGTGTATGAGTGTGCACGTGAGGGGATGGTACAGTGGGGCAGAGGGTGAGGGAGAGAATCTCAAGCAGACTCCATGCTGAGCATGGACCCTGACGCAGGGCTTGATCTCATGACCTGAGCTGAAATCAAGAGTCAGACACTTAATTGACTGAGCCACCCAGGCACCCTATCTCTGTATTTTCAAGTGGCTCTCTAGCCCAAAAATTGAACATCAGTGTTGAGCAGTTGGATATTTGTATTTGATGTTGGGGCTCTTGTTCTCCCATTAGAATCTACCCGTGATATGTACTAGGAATTTACTTTGAACAAAACAGGAAAAGGGCCATTGTCCTCCAACTAAGCTCCTTTCCTGTCATGTTACCCTTTCAGGGTACTCCGTGTGGGTTCCAGATTCTTCTCCTTGACTGTTGCAAGCTACCGTGACAAATTACAGCAGAGTTACTTTTCTCAAACCTCTTCTATGTATGCCCATACCATTTAAAATGACCTTCACAATTTCACTTAGGAAGTAAATGTTACTATATTTGGAAGCAAGATTTGACTGTGTGGTAATGAGCTGACTGTATTAGGTGATCCATGACATCTCAGTAAATGCCTATGTCCTAAAAAATTAATTTGAAATCAGATACACTCCTGCCTTTTAAAAGCAGAGACAGGGAAACCTTTGGCAGCTGAAATATTATGGACTAGACTTATTATAAAGTATTCATTGTAATAGTTATTTTATATTTAATAAAACTTACCGAATTCTAGCTATAGACTTGCTTTGAAAATACCTAGGGTTTTAGCTCTCATTGTCTCATCTAGTGATGTCCTGTTGTCTCTCTTTTCTTTAGGTATCCCAAAGGCATTCACGTTGACACTTTAGAAACTGAAAAGGTAACCCCAAGAACTATCCAGGGCCAAACCCATGCAATGATACATTGAACATGCTGAGAGTCAGGATTGACTCGTGGCTCTGCTTCTTGTGAGCTGGGTGACCTTGGGCAAGTCACTTCACCTCTGGAAGCCTCGTCTTCCTCATTGGTACTCTGGGGATGAGCCTGATGGTGATGGTCTGTGCCTGTTTCACAGCTGTTTTGTGGTGATCAAGTGGGTCAGCGGACATGAACATGCTTTGTAAACTTGAAAGTGTGCAAATGTTAGTATGCATGCTGATTATGGCAGAAAGCTGTAGTGCTCTGCATGAAAAAAATAGCTTCCTGTTAGGCAGGCACGTGAAATTAAATGACAGAATCTGGGGCATAAGTATCGCTATCATGTATTCCTGAGGTATGCTCTTGGACCCGTGGTGGGTAATGGGAGGCTGATGGTGGGCTCTGTTAACAAAATTTCAGAATTTTAGAATTTCGTTGTTGCTCTGAAGTCAGATGTCTGATGAAATGAGAGATGAAGTAAATTAAAAAATCTTGCTAGAAGGTAAATCTCAAACTTGGACATAGGATGTGATGTGCTTAACTGATACAAAATGGAATATAGGAGAAAGAAGGGACTGGTTTTCTGACACATGACCAGGAAAGCCAGGATTTTTTTCTTGTGTCAATTAAATAGGATACGGAAATTTTATTTTAAAGTCAATTGTTTAGAAATTCACGTTCACATGCAGCGTAACTTCTTAGTGTTCATCGTGGGAAGTGTCTTATTCTCATAGTCTGTTGATACTTTGAAGTGACCTCTGTTGGGGTGAATTAATAAACCACGAGCAAATGTCGCACACGCGCAGAGGCAGAATTTTGGTTTGTAACATGCCAACTCAGTTTTCGCAGCATTTCAAAATACTCTCAGCAGGTTAGCCTATGAAAGGCTGCGTTAGTAAAACATGTAACTTTGAATGGTAGCAGAACCTGAGTTGTTTGAGGTCAGGTTGCTTCTGGAAAGTTGTACATCTGCTTTATGTCTTTCAGAAAGAGCGCTACATCGTCATCAGCAAAGTAAATGAAGAAGAGCGTAAGAGGAAGGAGCAGCAGAAACTCGCTAAGGAACAGGTGACTGAGTCATGTTCATGTCTTTTGGGTGAGAAATGGCAGCTCGGTACTGATTTAGGCCTTCCTGCATGTTTGTAGATCCTGTGTCACATTCAGCGTAATGAATAGTGCCCTGCCATAGCAGCATTGAATTGGCAGAAACACCTAGAACAGAACAAGGGAAACTTAAGGCTAAGAATTTAGACATAGCCACCAAAGTGAGTCTGACATGTGAATCATCTATGTGAATCAGCCTCTAAGAAAATGTATTCTTGGTCATCATTCAGATTGTGTGTCCCTGAACCGCATGCCCATTAGGTAATACTGCTGTGTTTAGCCTCGGGCACAGTTGCTGGTTTTCCTAAAACAAACTGTGGAACCTGTGATTCAACAGATTAGGATGACATGGTGGTATTTGCATGGTTAGAGCACCACCCTGGTTGCTGCCTGGAGAGTGGATTCCAGTGAGGAGGACCGGAGGCAGGGAGACCAGTTAGGCTGTGGAGTAACCTCGCTGTGAGATGTCGGTGAGCTGGAATAGGATAGTGACTAGCAATTTAGGTGGACCCTGGAGATGTTTAGAAGGTAGACTCAGTGGAATTTGGGATTGGGTGTGGGTGATGAAAGTGGAAGGGAGAAAAGAAAGATAGTCAAGCCAGAAATTTGAGCAACTGGGTAGACTGGTGTCAGATGGGGTGGGCCAGAGTGATACTGGTAGGGGGACAGGTGGAGGAGGCCAAGAGCTCACACATACATAAGGCAGGGCCACATCCGACTGGTCTAATCATTAAGGATACAAAAAGCCACTGCTGGATTGAGACGGTTTCTTGCTTCAATAGAGAAGGAAGATCAGCCAGAGGTACCAGCTGCATGTGGTCCCACCCACCAAAAAGACAGCACTGAAGCCAAAGGGGCCCGGGGACTGCTGTGTGAGTTGTGGCTACCCCATTACGAAGGAGCCAATTCTAGACCGCAGCTGAGCGCTTTTCTGTGCTCTGGCTCTATGCTGCAAAGGAGGGTGGGCAGAAAGCCCCCTGCCTCATCAGAACCTGGGAGGCAGGGAGAATCCCTCATGACAGCCTCCCAGGAGAAAGAGGGAGGCAGGTGGGAGAGGACCTCAAAGCAGCTCCTCACAGACCTCTGCCTCCCACCTGCTTTTCTCGGGGTGTTCCACCGACACAGAGATGGGTTGTGACTCAGGCCTTTGCCCATGTGGTCTGTGTGGATACGTGCAAGGTCACCAGGGCACCATGGCACAGCTGTCCCTCCAAAGTTGAGAAGGATGTTACCTTCTGTTTTTGACCCGATGACGTTTTAGATGTCTTGGGGCGTCCACGGGTGGGTTTCCTGTGGCAGGTTTGTCCTGGAGTGCAGGAGAGAAGGTGAGGTGGGGGCTAGGTGTGGCTGTCGTTGGCGGGACTGGGCTGGAGCATCCACTGTGTGCTGAAGAATGAGGATGAGATGGCCTGGGGTAGGTTCCTGAAGGATCTGGCATTTAAATGATAAGCAGAAGTAGAAAGATGTACCCGGAGAGTCTTGTGACCAGCTGCCAAGGGAAGAGAATGTTTGAAGAGGGGAATGTCAACAGAGGAGAAGTTAACGGATAAAGACGGAGATGTGGCCCCTGTGTTTAGCCTTGGGAGTCCTTTTTTTTTTTTTTTTTTAATAATTATTATTTTTAAGTGTTGCAGTAAAAGTTCAGTAACAGTTTTGAGAGCTAGCATTCCAACCCAGAGGACAGAGGAGAACAAGATAGAAATCTGAGACCCAAGGGAACTGGGATATTTAGCAGGGACCCCAGCACAGCACTCATCATTCCAGGAATTCAGCTGTTCATCCACCTGACAAGAAAGACCTCTGGTCACAAGGAACAGTGAACACTTTGGTATAGCAATTAAGGTTGAATTAGTTATTCACCATTTGTAGCATATTCACCATATGTTTCAGCATTATGGTAGGTGCAGAGGGCATCAGAACAAACGATTTATTTATTTGAGAGAGAGCGCAAGACAGAGTGAGCATCGAGCTGGGGGGAGAAGCAGACTCCTCACTGAGCAGGGAGCCTGACGTGGGGATGGATCCCAGGACCCCGGGATCACGACCTGAGCTGAAGGCAGATGCATAACCGACTAAGCCACCTAGGCGCCCCAGAACGAATGATTCATGGCTTTCCTATCTAAGAGTTAACAGTCTATCTGGGAGAAAGTGCTAAAAATGTCATTAAAACATAGGGATATGAAGTTTTTAAAAAGTATTCTTAAAAATTAAAAAATTTTAATTGTGGCAAAATACACATAACAGAAAATTTACTCTCCTATTTCCAAGTGTACAGTTCTGTAGGATTAAGTGCTTCCACCTTGTTGTGTAGCCACACCATCCATCCTTGTAACTGTTCTCATCTCATTAGACACTAACTCCCTGTCTGCACCCCCAGCCCCTGGCAACTCCCCTTCTACTTTCTGTCTCTGTGGGTCTGACTACTCTAGGTACCTCATGTAAGTGGAATTGTGCAGCATTTGTCTTTTTGTGACTGGATTATTTCACTCAGCATAATGCCCTCCAGGTTCACCCATGTTGTAGTAGGTGTCAGAATTCCCTTCCTTTTAAAGCTGAATAGTAATCCATTGTCTGTAGAGACTACATGTTCTTCATCCATCTGTCCTGGACACTGGGTTGCTTCTGCCTTTTGGTTCTTGTGAATAATGCTGCTATGATCATGGGTGTGCAAATATCTCTTGGAGTCCTTGCTTTCAGTTCTTTTGGGTATATACCCAGAAGTGAAATTGCTGGATCGTGTGGAAATTCTATATTTAATTTTTTGGGGAACTGCCATACTGTTTTCCTTAGCGACTGTACCACTTTACATTCCCACCAACAGGGCACAAGTGTTCCAGTTTCTCCATATCCCCGTCATCACTCGTTAGCCTTGGGAGCAGTTTAAAGAGATGAGCAGTTTCAGTGAGGGTGAGGCCAGAGAGCAGAGGGCTGCAAGGAGCTAGTGAGTGGAGAGAAGTCTCGAGTAATGTAGCTATGATGAGACAGGAAGGGGCAGCCGGTGCATCCAGCTTAGCACTGAGGACGGGGTATCAAGATAGGAGAGAAATTGAGCCTGTTCAGACATCACTGGGAGGAAAGGAGACAAGAAACTGGGTGGGGCTGAGTCTCAGAGTGCTATGCTCTAAATGTACAAAAATGCATTTGACAAGGAGAAAACCCAGGAATTATGAGAATGCTTGATTTGATCAATCAGCTGCTAGATGGGCTTCCTCAGAATTTAATGCAGTATTGAATTTGGCCAGCAGGTGGCAGCGTTGAAAAGTTTGTGTTTTTAAGGCCACTTGCTGGACTTGGATATTTCAACAAATGATGTGAAGTGATAGGTAAACCCTAGGTGCCGTTATTTTAGTAACTAATGAATAATTTGGGACTTGCTCATTCCACGTTCTAAAACAGAAGAAAGGTGTGTACATAAGTTATGTCAGATGCAGTTTTTTGGGATCATGGAGACAGAACAGGGAAACTAAAGCTATCTAACTCAATATAACACTAAAGTGTTTTGAGGGGCTACATTTTAACCCATTCAGATAAGGAATATGTGTACATCAGTAGTTTTCTTGGTTTGTTTCTCTAAATCAGGAAGAACTGAATGATGCTGTGGGATTTTCTAGAGTCATTCATGCCATTGCCAATTCGGTAAGTGAACCAGGCTTTTTCTTTTTAACTAGATTCCTGAACATAACATTTAAGGTGAAATGCGTAGTCATCATTGACAACTACCCATTTGGTCACGTGTAGAATGTTTACCTGGTATGGAGGGAGACTTTGGTTATAATGCGCTCAGTGACATCATAATTGCCGATTGGATCCACACCATTTTCCAGAAGGTTTTCTTGTGGGGGCGCCTGGCTGGCTCAGCCAGTAGAGCATGTGACTCTTGATCTTAAGGTTGTGAGTTCGAGCCCCACGCTGGGTATAAAGATTACCTAAAAAAAAGAAAAGGTTTTCTTGTACAATGCATAGGAAGATTATACTGTGATTTCCTTATATGGCTACATGAAACTTACCTTTATTATTCTCAAAACCATTAAGAAGTTGAAAAAGCAAGTAGGGAGTATGGGGAGAAATAATCGGGTATCTGACTGAGGGTGTTCTGTTCCATACTTAGAAGAATCTAGAGGACAAAAATAATTGTGTTGAGTTCTTCTGCATAACTGTAACTGAATTGTGGGTGATAGCCTTGATGATATTTGATAAGTTTTAAACGGTGTTGACCTTTTGTGTAAATATGCTAGAGCATTCCGTGATTGGTATGGAGGACATTTTTGCTTGTTTTCTAAGTCCCGTTGGAAAAGAGGCCTCCACGTCTTGGTGTAGATAAATTGGGCCAGGCTGCTGGTGGTTTCGTGGATTACACATCCGAGTCAGACAGCTTGCTGGGACGCTCAGTAGCCTGGAGGTTAAGACTTTCTGTTCCTAGAGTAGCTGGCCATGAGAGAAGGAATTATCTCCCCTGGAGAAGGAATCGTCTTGTCGCTTAGGTGCTGAGCTTTGCACCTAGGACACTTTAAGGCCGTAGAGATCCCCTCTGTGTTCCTCCCAAGTGCAGGCTTGTGAGAACAGGAGCACTTGAGAGGGGGCATGCCACTCTCCTTCACTGGGGATGAACAGCAAGTTACAGAGCCCCGTCAAGTCAGTGAGGTAACCAGAACGGGATAGAAAGTCGCATGAGTCTGGAGAGAAACAAAGGCGAGAGAGTCTGTTCATGAATGGCTAAGACATAGGTATCCAGAGAAGCAAGGGGGAATTTCTGGTCACATTTGCTTATATCATCCACACTTAGCCAGCAGACTTCAGAGAAGTGGTTGAATTGACTGAGGCCAGCCCTGAAATACAGACCTGTGGGGCATCACTTGGCTTTGAGCTCTCTTGTGGCCATCCTGATAGTTGGGTCTGTTTGCCTGGTTCATACTCAGATGCCGTAGCTGCTGTGTCCCTCTCCTTGTTGTCCATCTCCTACAGAATAATTTACAGCATGCTGCTGACCATTGGTTGTTAATGACACAGAGCATACTATGAAGACAAGTCCCCTTTATCAGTGACCCAGACATTTAAAATTTATTTATTTTTTAAAAAGATTTTATTTATTTATTTGAGAGAGAGAGAATGAGAGAGAGGGAGAAGCAGACTCCCCGCTGAGCAGGGAGCCTGACGTGGGACTCGATCCCAGGACTCCAGGATCATGACCTGAGCCGAAGGCAGTCGCTTAACCAACTGAGCCACCCAGGCGCCCCCAGACATTTAAAATTTAGAAGTCACATACCTTAAAAACACAGAGTCAAGCTCTAAAAAGCCAGTGAATACTCAGTACTCTTAAATATTTATATCACACCACATTCTTTCCCTGCCACTCTTAGTAGTAAATCTGTGTTTTCTGTATGTTAAAAAACTTCATTTTATACTAATTTTACACTCACAGCAGTCGCAGAAATAGTACAGAGTTTCCATTGATCCCTCACCTCGCTACCTTTCTGCTGATGCCTCGTATAACCATGTGGTTATCTGAACCAGGAGGTGAATGCTGGTATGATGTTATGAACCAAACTGTAGGCCTTACCTGAACAGCATCACTTTCCCCACTGAGTTCATGGTTCTTTCCAGGTCCCCACGTTGCATTTACTTGTTTCTTTTCCTCAGTCTTCAGCAGTCTGGGCCGTCTTTCGTTGTCTATTATAATCTCAGTGTTTTTGTTTTTTGTTTTTAAAGATTTTATTTATTTATTTGAGAGAGAGAGAGAGAGAGCACGAGCAGGGGAGGAGTAGAGGGAGAGGGAGAAGCAGACTCTGCGCCAAAGTACAGAGCCTGATGCGGGGCTTGATCCCACAACCCTGAGATCATGACCTGAGCCGAAATCAAGAGTCACATGCTTAACTGACTGAGCCCTGCAGCGCCCCGGCCCCCACCCATTTTTGAGCACCTCCTCATTCTTTGGCATCACAAGATGTTCAGACTCACGTTGTATTTTCCTTGCCTCAGTTCTAGAATCCATGAGTTCTCCAAGGAACCCTGGTTCCTTTTATTGGATAATGGTTTTTAGAAACCCAGATCTGGCACAGGGTACCACTGTGGTGTTACCGAGCCAAAAGGACAGCTTGTCTGTTGGATTTGAAAGATTTTGTATAGAACTATTTATTTCTAAGAATTACGTTTAGCCCTATGAGTCAAGAAGTATCACTCTGATGATGTACTGGGACACAGTCAGAAGCTCCACTGTGATGACCAGACGCTTTCTGTTAAAAATGCTGTCACCTGGCTGGCTAAATCTGAGTCGATGCTGCATTTTGGTAGTTTATTTTCTATCACAATGGAGTGATTTACTGAACACATACTATACTTCAGTTGGTAGAAAAGCAATAAGTTGCATTGGAAATGGTATTTAAGAACATGCCCCCTGAATTGTGACATAGATGTGAAGGGAATGAGAATTCATTCTGTTTGACAGAATTAGAAATTAATTATTTTTACCTTTCAGTGTTGTCACAAATATGTCTTTTAAAAATCAATGAGTTGTTTTAAGGAATACACGCCTAGAGTAGATACTTGGAGCCTGTTCACAAATTATTGACAGACAGTTCAAGGTACTTAGCCTTTTCAGTTACTTTTTTGAGCCCTTCAATAAAAATTTTATTACTTCTGATTCTTGAGGGTGGCAAGATGAATAAAAAGCAGAGAAGATCAATGAAATCAAAGTCACTGGAGCTTTTACTTTGCATAATGGATTTAACACTCTAAGAGTAAAGAGGAATAAAGCTAGCCCTAACTTATTTATTTGCATAAATATATTTTTTAATATCAAAAAGTAAGTTTAGTACAAAATCCTCATAGAATCTGAGCCATACATTTCACTCTCAAGCCCCAGTATAATTTTGTGCCAAGAAATCTTCTCCTTAACCCCGACTTTCTTTAGGGAAAACTCGTTATTGGACACAACATGCTCTTGGATGTCATGCACACTGTTCATCAGTTCTGCTGCCCTCTGCCTGTGGTAAGTGACCCGCCTGCTAGCCTGTGTTAAAAATTCACCATTTCTTGCCATTTGCAACGACGTGGATGGAACTAGAGCGTATTATACTAAGTGAAGCCAGTCAGAGAATGACAAATACCATATGATTTCACTCATATGTGGAGTTGAAGACCAAAAAAAACAAACGAGCAAAGGGGAAAAAAAGCGAGAGGGAGAGAGAGAGAGAGAGAGAGAGAGACAAACCAAGAAACAGGCTCTTAACTCTAGAAAACAAACTGATGGTCACCAGAGGGGTGGGGGGGTGGCGGGGATGGGGGAAACAGGTGATGGGGATGAAGGCGTGCACTTGTGATGAGCACTATATTGTACACCTGAAACTAATACAACACTATGTTAACTGGAATTAAAATAAAAACTTGAAAAAAAGGAAGAAAAATTCATAATTGCTTATTACCGAGAAAGCATTCTCTACATGAGTGCTGTTTCCTTGTATGCAGCACGTTCCCAGAGATAGTCTCATGCGCTTGGGTGTACATTTTTGAAGAGATGTACTTACAAGCTGTTGTAAGGGATCTTCAGTCATCTGCCATTGCCAGAGCAGAGTTGGACATTTGTTTCGACTTGATGCCAGTGGTTTGCTCATTTAGTGCTGGGCAGGCATTCTCGGCCACAGGCGTGGTCTTCTAGTTTGTTGCTGCTAGCATTAGCCATAATGGGGCCATTGAAGGTGAGTAGTACTTCAGGTCAGCTGAACTGGATCAGGTCCTACAAAATTTAGAATTCTTGCTGACCTCTTGCTAGGCTGCTTCCCTTAGATTCTCCGTTAACCTTGGTGTTTTTTTGTTCTTGGAGCCATGTTGGCTCAGGCACCAAGGCACAAGCCTCTTTGGCTCTTCAGGAAAAGACTTTCTCTTCTGTCTCTTCCTCTTTTGCTCCCTAACTGTGTACATGGCCTCATCTTGCTTGCCTCCCATCACCATGTCCTCCCCCTCCTTTATTTGCTCTCTCTGTTTTGAGAATCTTAAACGGGCTCCCTGCCCAGTGCAGAGCCTGACGTGGGGCTCAGTCTCATGGCCCAGAGATCACGACCTGAGCCAAAATGAAGAGTCAGACACGTAACCGGCTGAGCCACCTAGGCGTCCCTACGTCACATGTCTTATGAGACATTGTTCCATCAGGATCTTGATGTCTTTCTTTGGAAAAGTCCAACAAAGCCCAGCTGTGAATACAGTGGGTCTCTTGCTCCCCTTGTTCTGTTTCTGCAGCCTCAAGGTTGTCATTGCTTCTCATGACAACGGTATCACCCCCTCTGGGACTCAAAGACTTCATGGTGGTGAGTCTCAAACATGATGGATATGAATGTGCAGTGTACAAATCTGAAGAGCTGATGTTTACTTCAGATCAGCCGCTTCTATTGGCCAAGTCGACCAGAGCATAGCAGCTCCTCTCATGATTTTTTGACGTTTAAACCAGGGAAGTGACTGGTAAGGGAAGAGGAAAGTGTATTAAATGCCGCGTTTATAGGTGTTTTTAACACCAAACAGGGCTTGGCACATAGGGGGCATTAAATATTGATTTAAAAAATGAGTATCTTCCAACTGTGCCAGTTTTATAATCTGATATATGGTTCTGTTCACATCACCGACAGTGCTCAAAATTCTGAACCTAATCCTGTCTTCTTTGCTTTTCTATACAGCTGATTCTTGTTAGCCTGACATGGCAAGCTTTCTGTGATCTGGCCCAGCAGCCCTGTGTCTTCTAGTCACTTGTGGCCCTCCTTATTCCCATCCGGACTGGCTCATTTGTTCCTGGGACCGCTTTGTGTTTTTGCCTGTCTGTGATTTTGGTATACAATTTCCTCCTTTCTGAATTTTCTCTGGTTTTTCTCCACATTTGCCTGTGTACAACTTGACCTGTCTTACCAAGATCTAGCGTATGCCTCTTCCACGAAGGTTTCCCTGCCTGCTGTCTTGCCCAAGAGGTGATCTTCCCTTTCTCTGAACTCCTACAGAACTCTGTAGCTCTTGAGCATACAGTTTTTCTTGACCCCTGTCCCCTTCTTCTAGGTGATTAGCTCCTCGGACAAGGTGTGTAACCTTTTTTTTTTTTAAGATTTATTTATTTATTTATTTATTCATGAGAGGCAGAGAGAGAGAGAGGGAGAGAGAGAGAGAGAGGCAGAGGGAGAAGCAGGCTCCCAAGGAGCAGGGAGCCCGATGTGGGACTCGATCCCAGGACCCTGGGATCATGACCTGAGCTGAAGGCAGACGGTTAACCATCTGAGCCACCCAGGCGCCCGGAGTGTAACCTTTTTATTGTCTGTGTCTAAATGCCTAGCATAGCACATCGTATGTAAGCACTCAGTAAATGGTACGTTGAACGAAACTACTGTAGTTCTGAATCCAGTTCTCGTAGAAAGAGCTTGAGATTTGTTGTGGTGTAGGACGTGGGTTAGGAGACATGGCTTCATCCCTTGCTTTATTACTGAGGAGACCCAGTAATGAGCTTTTTTGTGTTCTGCCATTGTCAGGGGGAGAAAATTGGTTTTCTTCCAACTAGTTTTGGAAGAAGTGGTGAGAATAAATGAGAAAACATATTTAAGATGGTAGAACTTTTTACATGCACTGGTACCAAATTTTGCATTTAAAAGTATACTAAAGAATCCGTATTTTGGAGCTGTCTTTTAGGGGAGACTCTCTTCTGAAGAATCTTCTTGGTACTTCAGTGTGACCTTTTAGAAGGCATGGGTCTAGAGCTCTGCTATATGCTAGCCCTGGAAGTAGCCATAATTCTAATTTTTTCTTGCTTGTGAGGCTTTGTGATGGTATTGCGAGGTGATGGTAGTCATTATTGCATTTTTGTTTGACCTCAGCACTGAAACCACTTGTTCATGTATTGTCCGTTAATTTAATGATAGCCATTGAAAAGCTGGTAAATATCCCAAACTACATAAATAACAATCTGTATTTACAGGCTTGGAAAGCTAATTGGAAATGGCAGTTTGCTATGAAGCATGAATAACGCTGAAGAGAAGCGTAGTTAAAAAGGGTCAGGAGTATGACTACTCAGTCTGGTGTGGCAATTATGTATGTAAATGAGTTCATTCAAAATTAGATCCATCTCATTTCGGCTTTAGACTTCCTGATCAAAATAAACTGGGAAATGAATTGTCTAATTTAGGCACTTGCTACTGGTGCTTCTTTAGCAATTTTCTGAGTAGTTAAAGCAGGAAATGTGCATATTGGAAAGTCTGCGTTTTAATGGCCATTTTACCTAGCATTTCAGAGATGTTCTCAGTAAAGGTATAACCTAGTTTACAGTATGTCCATATCCTGTATAAACCATTTTATTTACTACATAACTCTGCTAGTCTCATTGTTATGCTGGATTCATTTGATAGAGCTATTACTGAAAGCTTTCTACATATAATAGAAACGTTTCCCCCTTCCTCTCTTTCAGCCATAAAATGCTCAAGTTTGTCTATTTTGGTTATGCAAAAGTTTTATGTCAGATCATATGATTCCCTGAGGAAATTGTGACGATTTTTAGAAAGTAATTATTAACTAGAGATGTATCCGGCAGTTTAGCTTAAAGGGCCTGTGTGAGGTGTCACAGTTTGAGACAGCTGTGGAGCTTGAAATATTATGTGTGTTTGTAGTATTGTGAGCGTATTAGTAAAATCGCAGCAAGTCATTGTCTGTCTTTTTGTTTTTTTTTTGGTTAGGACCTAAATGAGTTTAAGGAGATGACGACATGTGTTTTCCCCAGGTAAGCTTTCTTTGAGGATTCATTATCCTTCATTCAAAACAGTTCTCATACTGTATAAGATACAAACAGGTAATAAATAGTAATAATAGTAATTATCTGATCATGATTACAATCCAGTTGATAATAGCTAGTTAATGGTTTAATAGGTCCAGCTGTGACCACTTGCTTTTGATTGCATTAAAAACCAGAATTTGAACTGAGAGTGAAAATAGGCAGCACCTGCTTTTTCCTCACCCCCACAGCCTGCTGTCTGAAGAGTGGGCACAGTCTTCTTGAGTTGGCTGTTATCTCTCTTGTACGCCACACGTGTCTCGTCCCAGTCAAGTGTCCAGTTAAGAGTGTTGTGTAGTCAGTCAAGAACTGTCTGGCTGGAGATTTTACCCCTCATCTCTAAGTTGGTGCCTTTACCTAATAGTGTCTCCCACAGTTGATGTTGCATGAAACTACCAAATGCAGATTTTGACCTCCAAGAGTTTATTTTGTGCAAATCTGGGTAATACAGTGGTTGGTAATGGCGTTGGGGTACTAGACCTACAGCAGTATTTGAACCGTAGAAAAACTTAACAAAGATCTTTGCCTTCCCCTTGGAATGGATGTAGCCCATACCCAGTCGGGGTACAGGCGGTTCTAGAGCGTGTGCTCTGAGTGTGGCAGTGTGTGCCCTCCTCCATAGCCTTTTGACGAAGAGAGGTTGAGACGACAGAGCCCCAGTCTCATGTTGTAGCAGTACCTGTGCTAGGTCAAACTGGCTCTCTTGTTGGCTTTTCGGACCGGAGGCGGGCTCTTCATTTTACTAAAATACATTTTGGACATTGATGTGTGTTTTGTTTACCTTATTAACATTTCTTTTGTTTTTAGACTCTTGGATACAAAATTGATGGCCAGCACACAACCTTTTAAGGTATTTTTAAAATTGGAGCTGTCACTGATAAACTATGTTTTCAGTTGTTCTGACTCACTACTAGGAGCTTGGAATTCTGGTCTAGTTTAAGTGTTATTTTCAAATACATCCAAAAAAGAAAAAAAATTGGAAAAAGACTAGAGATAAATATATTAAAATGTGATTAGTGGTCGTCTTTGGGTGTTGGAATTATTTTTTTCTCTCCTATACTCTTTGAATGTAAATATTTTTAATATTAATATATATAATGTATTTTTTGGGGGGTGGAGTGGGGCGCCTGGCTGGTTCAGTCAGTAGAGCATGGAACCTTTGATCTCAGGGTCATATATTCAGCCCCCAAGTTGAGCATAGAGCATACTTTAAAAAAAAAAAAATATATATATATATGTATGTGTGTGTATATATATATGTATATGGGTATATATATATCTCCATATATATAGAATGCATTTCTGAATAGGTTATTCATGCACACACTTCATTATTTTCTTGATTTTATGTATTTTGGTTATATTTTCTAATTAGGAAAATTCAGGTAAAAGTGAAATCATTTGCTATTTTGTGAAGTGACTTTACATAACTGAGTGAAATGAATGCCAGAACAGCGTAGCTTTCTGGCCCAAGTTCTGTAGATATTTAACACATCTCCAAAGATGTTTCCTATGGTGATACTTTCTGCATGGTGAACCTGACACTTGCTGTCTCTCACGTTGAAGAAACCGTGACTCCTGTGTTTCTTTAAAGAACACAAGGGGGCAGTACTAGATAGACCTTTTTTTTTTTTTTTTTGGTCCTGACATTCAGTGAATCCTCTATGTTGTACTGAGATGATTAAAGCTCATAATTCTCTGCTTTCTGGTTTGCAGGATATCATTAACAACACATCCCTTGCAGAATTGGAAAAGCGGTTAAAAGAGACGCCTTTCAACCCTCCTAAAGTTGGTAAGAAAATAAAGTGATCCTGATAGTGCCCCAAGTGCTTGTGATCACGGATCTCACAGAAGGAAGATGAAACTGCTCTAGACACCATCATGCACATTTACAGATTTTGGCTGAGTTAACTTGCTCACGCCCTGTGTTGAATTACTGCTTTCTGAATAAAGATGCTCTCATAATCCTGCGTCTATTTTATGTTTATAGATTTGGGGTAGATTTTAATTGCTAAGCTTCAAGCGTCAGGGCTTTTATTCCTTAATGCTTGGAATTCTCCCAAAACTTGATGTGTCTTTCTTCTCTATGGTGCATTGTTGAAGCAGGGACAAAGACTTGGTGATTAATTGCCAGAGGTCGAATGAAAATACACTTTTTGTCTCTGAAAAGCCCAAGACCTGGGTTTCCAGATGAGGGAGGAGAGTCTCCAGTCCTGCCTCTCAACAGAGGTGGCTTAGCTGTGGAACAGTAGCAGCAAGGAAAACCAGAAGTAGGGAGGAATGTTTCTCGGGGCAGAGATGTATTGCCATGTCTGGTCATGGCTCCTACCCAGGTGTTTGGTGAACCTGCCACGTGTTACTTCCTTGGTTCCTGTATACCTCATTTTGCTGCTGACACTGTAATTAGCATTCCATTAGCTGCAGCCTGCAAACTTCTGAAGACATTGATAATTGGACTAATGGTTCAGAAATTGACAATGGAAGGTACTAAAGCAGCCAAGATTACAGCTATTTGCTTCCCTTTCTGGGTAATAGTCCAAAAAAGGAATTAAAAGAAGTGAGGGTGAGGGAAGAAAGCCTAGACCTTTTCTATAACAGTATGATGGAAATAATTGATTTTGGAAATATGTGTTTCAGCTGGTGGTAGAGTAGAGGATATTGGCTATCATGTTAAAAGACTTTTAAAGCTTAAAGTCTAATACTTAATACGGAGGTTAAAAATTCGTGCTTAAACAGCCTCATATTGCCGTAAGAATAAAGTCTTTGTTGTTAATTTCCATTCATACTTTTGGTTCTGTTGTAGTGTTTTTTTTTAAGATTTTATTTATTTATTTGAGGGAGAGAGTGAGAGGGAGAGAGAGAAGGAGTGGGGGGAGGGGCCGAGCGAGAGGGAGAAGCAGACTCCCTGTGGAGCAGGGAACCTGACATGGGGCTCGATCCTGGGACTCCGGGATCATGACCTGAGCCAAAGGCAGACACTTAACTGACTGAGCCACCCAGGTGCCCCGGTTACAGTGTTTTTGATATTCATTTTCAGAATGGTTCTAGGAAATATTTATGAGTTAAAGTTTTTTTTAAAAGATTTTTTTATTTATTTTAGAGAGAGAGAGAGCACAAGCAGGAGGGGCAGAGGGAGAGAAAAAGAGAAACTCAAGCAGACTCTGTGCTGAGCACAGAGCTGGAGGCGGGGCTCCATCGCATGACCATGAGATCATGACCTAAGCTGAAACCAACCACCCCTATGAGTTACAGTTTTATACCATTCTTTCCATGTAATATTCTGGTACCTGGCAGAGAATTTACTCTAAAGCTGGTCGCTCTTCCCAGACATTGTCTTCAGCATGTGTGTGTGTCAGTGTGACGTAAGAATCGTGTTGTAAAATGCTCTATCCTGCGAAGTGGCCCCATGTTCCACAGGCAGCGTGACAGCAAGTTCTGGTCTATTTTTGGAGTTAGTTGTGCCTTCATCTTTAGATCCGTTAGCTTGGAAACAGTAGAGGGCATTGTGGAATTGAGCTGCCGATATTGAAGAGAGTCTTTTGCCTTTTGGGAGGGTTGCCTGGGGTATTGATCGATGCCAGTGACTGAGCATTGACCATGTACCCGGCACCATGTGAGAGCTTTACTGCATTAGCTCATTTGATCCTCCTGTAAGTTTCATGAGGGAGGTTTGGTTTTCATCTCCATTTTGCCAATGTGGAGGCCCAGAGGGGGAGAGACTTGCCCAAGATCACATAGCAGATAGATGGTGGAACATAGATTCAGACCCAGACAGTGGGACACACAAATCCATGGTGTTATTAGTCATGACTGAAATACTTATGTCCCACGTCATCAGGGAAGAAGCTCCTTGGGACTTCAGAAAACGGTCAGAAGAGGGATCATCATCATAGGGCAAGTTATGCATGATCGTAAATAGTACCCACTAGTGTGCAGCGAGGAGGCCTGTGGCTGGGTCTTTGATGATGTCACTGAGCCATTTCTCTAGTCTAGAGCCCTCATTTTCAGTGACCCTATTATTTCACATTGCAAGGTCCTGTGTGGAGAGAATTAAGAAGTAGATAGCCTTTGCCTGCTTGTCTAGGATATTTCTGCGGCATATACCAATGCAATTTGGTAGGGCGGTGTGCCTGCCCGTCTTCACGATTTGTGATATCCTTGGGGAAACTCTTTTTCTTTTTTCTCTTTAGAAAGTGCAGAAGGCTTTCCAAGTTATGACACAGCTACTGAACAGCTCCACGAGGCAGGCTATGATGCTTATATCACAGGGCTGTGCTTCATCTCCATGGCGAACTACCTAGGTACTCACCAAACATACCGTGGTCTGGGGTGGATCTTGCCTGTCTACCATTTCCCTGGGGTCCACTCACCCAGGTCGAAGTGGGAGGGTTGGACGTCAGCGTTGGAGGGGTTTGGGGTGGGGCATGCAGAGTCCACAGTAGGCCCCGTTGACCCTTGCCTGGTGTGGCACTTGGCCCTTACGAGTGCCTCTTACCCTTATGAACCGTGCTATTGATTTACCTGGTTTGTTGTCTGAACTTTCAGGCTTTGTCTCCTTGACTGTATGTAATACTGTTTCTTTTCTTCATTAGGTTCTTTCCTTAGCCCTCCAAAAATTCATGTGTCTGCCAGATCAAAACTCATTGAACCTTTTTTTAACAAGTAAGTAATCAGCGTCCCAGTGCCCATGTTCTCTCATTGTGGAAGAGCCCAGTATCTGGGATGTCAGGTAGGGATGATTGGGAGCTGTGGTGCATTTTTAGATAAAGTATTTCTCATCTCAAGTGACTCAGATGTGTTTCGAAAACAGAAATTGACCTGGGAAATAATTTATTAAATATATTGGCTAAGAAAGAGAAAGAAAGAAAGAAAGAAAGAAAGAAAGAAAGAAAGAAAGAAAGAAAGAAAAAAAAGAAAACACTGCCAAAGGTAGTGCATCTTTTCCAAGACAAAGAACTGGTGGTTTTGGCATTTAAATTACCTGCAAGGGAGACTGTGTGAGTGAGAGAGAGAGAGAGTGTGTGTGTGTGTGTGTGTGTGTGTGTACGTAGTTGGACCTAACACTGCTAACATACTTTACACGTGAGGTTATTATTTATACTTGCATTATTATCTCATTAAATAATACTCTTTTTAAGAAGATGATACACAAATGGCTTTTAAAGATAATCTATGGAGAAGTTTTGATTGTCGTTTTATCCCAAGCTTTCATCTGAATGGATCCAGTGAAGTAAAAGCTTGCTCATGTACTCATTGTTGCAAGAAGTCTGTGTGATTTAGGGAGATGTCTAAGTTCAGAGGATTTTCAAAGACTCTCAAGATGATTACTTCAAAGTGTGGTTTGTGCTTTCTTGGCACAGTTGAGACAAAAGTTATAGATGTGATCCTCAAGCTGGCCACAGTTGGGCTCTGTGCCAGAGCCCTAAACCTTCTTTACCCCAGCTCTCTTAACAGGATTGGTTCTAGGAGTTTCTGGGGGAGCCAGACAGAACAAGGCCGCCCACATGGGTCATTACTGCCGGGAGAAAGAACTGTTTCAGCGTTGGCTTGGTTACATCATTTCCTTACATTATGTGCAGCACTTTACAATCCTATCAGTGCTTTACTGGGTAAGAACACTGACTCCTTTGGATGTCTATGTAAATTCTAGTATCACAGTGCTTGTACTTAGGTGACATGCTGCAGAGACAGATGTTAATTCCAAACATCTGGATTCCTACAGGTTTGGAATTTGTGTAGTCTGAGTTAGTAAGTTTTATCACACTCTGGCTTCTTATTTTTTTTTAATCTTTGTTCTTTTCTGTGGAAGTTCAGAGGTAAATGTGTTTGACTTTCAAAACATCTTTCAGAGAGGAACGGAAAACAGTATAGTATATATTGAAAATACAGTTGAATTTTTTATTAAGTTATTTTAATTCCAGTATTGTTAACATACAATGTCCTATTAGTTTCAAGTGTACAGTATAGTAATTCAACAATTCTGTACATTACTCAGTGTGCATCATGATAAGGATACAAAATTGAATTTTTTTTGGTGTGGAAAATTAATTCTAGAAGCTAACAGTTGAATCCTTGCTGTCTGTCCATTTCCTTATGGGTAACAGGATTTTCTTAGCTCTTCACTTTTATTTTGGGGGTAGTGTTTATCTTTGTAAAACTTTGGAAGGGCAGCTTATGTCACAGACCGTGGAACGTGCAGGTGACCCTAATTTTTGTTCGGATCATGGCCACTCCTTGCACTTTTATGTGCAGAATGTTAAGTCCATTCATTGTTAAACAGTATTTTTCAACTGGGACATGTTTACTCATTTTTTAATATTTAATTAAAAAAAAATTTTTTTTTAACTAGGCTCCACATCCGGCATGGGGCTTGAACTCCCAACCCTGAGATTAAGAGTTGCATGTTCTTTCTACTGAGCCAGCCAGGCACCCCTCATTTTTAAATATTTGAAACAACAAGCCTGCTTCTCCACTGAAATCAACTCCTTATAAAATCAGGTGATGGATACAAATTGGGTTCGATAATAGGCTGCATCTTAGTTTATCATTAACCTGTGTGACCAACACGAAGAGCAATCAAAATTAGCTTTAATTAAGAAGTTTAACAAAGACTTTATGTATTAATAGATCAGTTTATTATTGCTAATAATGTTCAAGACAATTCAAAAGAACTGGACAGTAAACACATAGTTTCATTTTACCTTGGAATGTTCATTTTTTTTCCCCCTGAAACCTAGATGCATACCAAAAATAGCTGAAGATTTGGGAATCCTCCTATGATATCACACTGAAAATTCTTGATTTTTTTGCTCCATTTTTCCTTCCATCTGTAAAGGAAGAATATTTTCTTCATCTCTGAAGGAAAAAAGTCCAGCAGGATTTGAAATGCAAAATAAGAACTATTTTTATTCTACATTGGAATAGCTTGGTCAAGTACAGTCGTCCCTTTTTTCTTTGAAAAATAATTGATATGCAATATCATATTAGTTTCAGGTGTACAATATAGTGGTTTGATATCTGTATACATTATGAAATGCGGTCATCTCTTCTCAACCCATTTAGAAAGTGGGGAAAGCACTTGCGCCTTTCAACATCTCTTTCTGTGTTAATACTGACCTCATTCTTACTTCATGCAGGTTTGATTTGTGACATTAACCTTGATTTTGTCATTTTTTTTTCAAGATTACCCTGGTAGAGAAACATTCAGAAAGGGCCATCAACATTCTCTCAAGTGGTTGATTTTAGAAAAATCTGTAAATTTCTCTGAGAGTTTGTTTGGCACCAGCCTTTTCTCAGTATGAGCTTAACCAAATATGCAGAGTCCTAACATAAATTTGGGTGGAAATCAGACTGCCTACATATGCAAATAACTTTTTGTTCCTCTCTTACCAGATTTATGTTTAGAAAGTAAACCTTGAGGGGGAAATAAACTCCACCTATTTCTGCATTGTTCTGAATTAGCATTTGGCTGCATTAGTTATGCTTTTTTGGGAAGTTGTATTGAGAGATATTGAGAAATCCCCGGACAGCTGGCTTTTGAGTGATCTGCAAAGACCACATGGAGTATAAGGTGCTTTCTGAGCCATATTTGCCTAGAAGGATGTCCTGTGAGGATTTTGCATGCTGCCATTTTGTCTCTTTCCTGGCCTGGGTACCTCCTACATTTCTCCTTCCTTTGTTGGAATCAGAAGGAGCGTCGCAAGGGAGTTGAGCAATAGAAATACGGATCAGACCACTGCTGAGGACTGGCTGTGTGTGGAATGTACCCTTCGTTTATGTTGTAGGTTCTCTGGGCAGGAAGTGATTTACCTTCTTTTATAACCTTGGTCAGTTTTTTTTTTTTTCAAGATTTTATTTATTTATTTGAAAAAGAGAGCACATGACGGGGGGGGGGGGGAGGGTCAGAGGGAGAAGCAGACTCCCTGCCGAGCAGGGAGCCCGATGCGGGCTCGATCCCGGGACTCCAGGATCATGACCTGAGCCGAAGGCAGTCGCTTAACGACTGAGCCACCCAGGCGTCCCTAACCTTGGTCAGTTTTGATCAATGCATGGAAAACCAGCCTTGGAGAAGATCCTCCGGTCAAATTCTTTTAGGCTGGAAAGAGCTAAAAATATTCTCCGCTTTCATTTTTTTTCGTACCACAGAAAAGCACAAAATCAGGCTTTTGCCTTATGTTTTATTAATAGTCATCTGTGTCGGTTAAACTCTCTCATAGATAACCTTTTCTGAAGGTTTTTGGGAAGGTTATTTTCCATTTACCTCATTTCTTAGAAAGAGGAAGGAAATGAGCAAGTCTCTTGTTTTGGCTCATCTCTGTAAGGGAATTAAAAAGGAAGAATTGCCTGCCGTTCTCCGTAGAGGATGGCCATCTTGGTCTTGGCACAAGTGTCCTGTGTAGGAACAGGATTCCTGTAGAAATCTAGGCCTTCCTGGGATGGACATTGCTGGATGTTGTCTCTGCGCTGGAGGTGAGGAGACAAGCCATAAGAAGGAGTGATACACTCTTGGACGCATTGTTTCCTCCTCTATAAAATGGAATAAAATTATTTGCCTCCCACAGAAGTTATAAATATCACATGCTAAAGGACATTGCCCAGTATTTATTATTTCCCTTTCTTGAAATGGAAGAGAATTTAACATGCCGGTGGATTCTAAAAGTAGATGTGGTAGTGGAATGTGTTTTGTGTTTCTAGTTTCATGATCAGGAAGGAAATTTGTTACCGTGTGGATATAAAATTGTAACAAATATAAAGGGTTCACTTTTGCTGGTACCCACCTCTTAGCGTTTGCTTATGAGAAATCAGGTGCTGATGAAGTGCGTCCATTTGGGACGTAACGGAACAAGCTGCCCTTGGTTTGGATCGTTTATGAAAGTTTTCTCATTCAGACAAATACAGCGGTTTACAGAAGGTTCTGTAGGTACATGTAACCATGATCAGCATAGAGGGGGAGGGATCATTACGATACCTGAACTAAAGCACCCGAGTTTTTCCCCTTTTCCTCCATGGAAAGCGGTCATGTGCTGGTATAATATAGGCATGTGTGCCCTGTTTGACATCAGAGAGATTTTGAACTGAAGGATTATAAGAAAACATACCTCCTGTCTTCCCGGCCCTGGCAGTGATCACGGGGAGAGCAAAGCTCGTTTGCTTCATTGACGAGCAACCGCCATTCATGCCGAGCCGTGTGGAGTGACGGGTCACTAGCGAGTTGGCCCTGGGCCCATGTGTCTGCAAGTGCAGACCCTGCTTGTCTCTCGAGAGTGGTATTCTTCTCCTCTCCTGCTGGGCCCTCCTACAGAAGGCGCTGGAATAACAGGAGGGTGAGGCTAATCTGTTCTGATGCCCAGTGTTTGCTGTCGGTTTTTAGCATCCTGGTTGATGGGTCAAATGGGTCTTTACGCACTGTTCAGGTTGGGTATAGAGTAAGTCCGCTGTTGTGTTACAGTGATTTTTCCCCACCATGAGCCTTCCGTGGTCCCAACATAAGCAAGAGTTACAACACAGTTTGTGCCGTGGGTAAGGCGCAGCTGGGGATGTCACAACCGTCCGCGGAACGGGTTCCATGTGCATTTAACATTTTTATTTTTATTTTTTAAAGATTTTATTTATTTATTTGACACAGAGAGAGAGACAGCGAGAGAGGGAACACAAGCAGGGGG